AAGAAAGCGTTTTTTACATTGAACTGCTGCCTGTAACTCCCAATTAAAGTGAGCTGCTAAGGATAAAATGATCCTTACTGTATTCATTTTTGCTACAGGAGCAAATGTATCTTCATAATCAATCCATAGGTCTAGGTGAAACCCTTTGCTACTACCTTGCCTTATACCTGTCAAGTGAACCATCAGATCGGTATTTTACTGTGTATACGCACATACAGCCTACTATTTTTTGTCATTTGGTTTTTCAACAAATCTCCCAGGTTTCATTTTTTTCTAGTGCTTGCATCTCTTCATTCATGGCTTGAATCCGATCCTTATCTTTTAAAGCTTCTTGCAGATGCAGGGATTCTAATACAGCCAATAGCCGAAAGAAAACTCTGGTGTTGGACAGCAAGATTCAAGTAGACACAAACTGAGATCGTTTTTTCTTTCTCAAGGCAATAGGCAGTTCATCAGGGTTTAGCTCACAATAATTATTAGGCTCGAAGTTAGGAGCACTTAAACAAGAATTATTAAGCTCGGGTTTAGAGCAATTACCTCAAGTTCAGACGATTGGACTTGTTGGTGGACTAGGACGAGTTTAACTTTCTGCTGGTACTTTATCCCATATCTATCATCATTATTGTGCACTGATATTTGTCCAGAGTCATTACCAATAGCATCAGTATCCTTAGGGCAGGAATAGGGAGTGAATTCAAGGGTTCCTATATTAAAGGAAGAATTGAAAACTCGGGGAACTCAACTTCCTGTCTACTTCCCTGGACATGAGGACTAGGATAACAAGATTCAGTTTCCAGAAAAGTGACATTCATGGATAGATAGACACGAAAACTAGAAGGATGATAGCACTTGTACCCCTTTATATTTGGTGTGCATCCTATATCCTATATCCTATAAAGATACATTTAACAGCTCTGGGGTCTAACTTACTCCAATGAGGACCATGAACATGGACAAATGCAGAACAACAAAAATCACAACATTGGAGAATTAACATATTGGGCATCGATGGAAAGAAACTATTTATAACTTGCATAGGGCTAACACCGCATAAAACCCTAGATAATAACCTATTGATTAAATAAGTAGCGGTCAACACAACTTCTCCCCCATAAAACTTAGGAACGTTCAGTTGAAAGAGTAACACTCTGGTGATTTCAAGAAGTAGCGATTTTTTCGTCCAGCAACCCCATTTTGTTGTGGGATGTCAACACAAGTCAATTCATGAACAAGACCATTTTGTTTTAAACCATGTGGAAAAAAAATAACAAATAGTTGAAACACCTCTTATTTATCTTTCATAAGAAAAATCCATGTAATCCTAGAACAGTCATCCATAAAAGTGACAAGCCATTTTGCACCAAAAATATTTGAAACAGATGAAGGTCCAACATCAGAATGAACCAAATCAAAACGGTGGACACCCTTTTATTATTACTAGGAAGAAACATTGAACAGTGATGTTTAGAATGTTGACATACATCAGAGTGAAAAGACTCGACTCACACTTTTGTAAATAAATGGAGAAACATGGCCCGAAGAACAATAAAGGGAGGATGCCCAAGACGTTTGTAAACTAGCCTAATGAAAAATTCTTTCTTGGTGTGACAGAGATTATAACCCGTCCTATTCCTTCGCAATTCCAATCGTCTTCCCCATGACAAGATCCTGAAAAACACAGTGGGAATTGATAAAAGTTAATGTCAGTTTAAATTGTTGGTAAGTTTGTGGATAGACAAAAGATTGTTAGAGAGCCCTAGAACATGAAGCACATGCTTTAGGTGAAGTGATGAATTCAGGTTGGTGCTATCACATCCAATAATGGGAGTTTGGGATCCATCAGCAACAGTGATATGGTGTTTGTTTGGTAAAGTGGAATAAGAAGATAAATGTGAGAAGTGAGGTGTCATGTGATCTGTAGGGTACCAGAGTCAACAATCCAACTACGCTTAGTACTCAAAGCATTAAGAGATAACAAGGTAGAATTCTTATCAATCATTGTTACAGAAAAACTACCAAAGGGCGTACTCAAGGAGTCCATAAGCACTCTTAGACGTTCAAGTTCTGCTTTTCTAAGGTTGGGGACATCTTCTGTTGGTGATTTGCATGTTAGAAGTTGTGTGATTTGCATGCCTCCGAACAATACTTTTGGACCCGCTCATACGACCGACTTTATCCCTTCCATGCAGTTTGAAACATGTATCCTTCGTATGGCCAGATTTTTTACCGTGACTGTACCATTGATCTTCACGAATGCGCTTCAAAAAGGGCCTCTGAAAGTGGATCTTTGTATGGAACCCTTTCCAGTGGCTAAGGTTGAAACATCAACTGATTCTTTCCATCATCATTGTCCTACTTTCTTCACGATGAACGGTGTGAAAGACCTTCGAAAGAGATGGTAGTTTCTTATTACCCAAAATTTAAAGCCGAATGGGACCAAATTCAATGTAAATCCCAAAGAGAAACTTATATATCCATATTTTTCAATAAATTGGGTTAGTGTAGTAGAGTCTTCATCACACTTCATTGTCAAACTTTGATATTGATCTAGTTCGGTCCAGATGTCATTTAAAGTGCCATAATAGTCCGTCACAAAGAGAGTTCCCTGCTTAGTATTAAAGACTTTATTTTCCAATTCATAACACACTGAGAGATCTTCATTCATGGAATATGTCTCTACCGGATTCTTCCAAATCTCCCTCGCAGTAGTGAAAAACATACTCCGTATATTGTGAGAGAATCCTCATCAATCTATGTTTCATATTGTGGATACGTCTCACCAGGAATTTGCTTTCGATGTGACTAATCCTCTTGCTTTCTCTAAGAGTGGTACAAAGTATGAACAAGTCGGTCCCATTAAAGATAGTTGGGTCCATCTAACCGGTATGACCCTTGCAATATCGGGAGATCATTGTGGGTCAAAGGTGGAAGAGATACAATCTTTTTCTTCAAGGTCAGGCATAGTTAAAAAAAAAAATACCACACTACTGGCAGTGTTGAAGATGAAAGAACTCAACTCTAGGACAACTTTCTGGCAGTAGAGCCAGCCCTAGAATCTGGAGGCTCTGATACCAACTTGAAGAATAGAATGAGTAAAATACAACAACCAATTACAATTTGTAGACCTGGACTAACTTAATAAAGAAAAAATTAATTATGTACAAGATCTCCTAATTAATACAAATCTCCCACTTGATTCTAGGAATCTCATAATAATCAACTAAATATTTTTATATCTCTGGAATAAATATGCCCAATCTGGTTAAATACACCAGAACCTATCTAATGTCACTGATAAACCAATCAAGTGTGATTCTGTGAGTTCAAACTGTCGTGTGAAACAATGCCAAATAAAATTTTGTTTTAAAGGTCTGATTTGGAGTTAAACAGTAAATTGCAGACTAATATAGCATCCACTATCCAGTATATAACCATCCGGCTTGATGTTTCTTTTTTGCTAAAAAGGAACTAACAGGAAACTATGGTTATCAGGGTATACTTGAAATGAGAAGAGATAGAATAGGGGGAAAAGGCCCGAAGTGGATCACAAGTCTCTTATGGCTGTGCTCTCTAGATGCCACCTTGCCACCCCTTTGTAATTTAAATAGGCAACTCATCAAGTCATGTCAATTTATAGTGAATGCTAGGTTGAGAAGCAATGGAAATGAACGACCTTGATGAGATGATATAATAAAAAAAAATGCATAGACTTAATTGGCTATGATAAATTACAGCGCATTAAAAAAACGGATTCAAAACCACCCAATTCTGCTAAAATTCCACATTTTTGTCTTCCTATTGTTGGTTTTACTCAGTGAGGAATGAAAATTACACCAGTGAATAATGATACGTCTCACTTTTGGATAAGAATCACACTGCTCAGAAATCAAGACGAATTGCGGGATATGCTAGGCATATTGATGGACTTTACAGCTTAAACCTAACTCAGTTCCATAATGGGCAATAGATCTCTTAGAACCCTAGTAGGAGTGATAACAGAGCAGGCTAGTGATTACTCAAATAACCCATACATCAAACTTTCATAAATGTGCAAATGGAACCAGAATAAAATACGGATTCCGGAGATAGTGTGTTTAAAAAATGGAACCTTTGACGAGCTTAATGACTAGCTTCTTGGCGGGGTGGGGGGGAGTGGCCTTCTTGCGAGACAAATTGGAAGCGGGCGCTCGAAGAGTAGAAGCGACGGCGTTGTTCAGATCCTCGGCGTTAGCGGGAGAAGGGTCTTCATCCGCATCAGGGTAGAAGTGGGGGCGATGCTGGCCGTTCTTGTTGGTGTCTAGAGAGCAAGAGGCGGCCTGTGACTTGACCTTTTTCATTGCCGGGGGGCGCACCGTCGCTGCTGGTGATGAAAGAAGCAGAGGGGCAGGATGAAATGAGCGCTTATTGGCGTTGGTGTCTTGAAACGCCGAATTCTAGCAGTTTGTTTGTTTCTTTGGATAAGCGGAGTGTTACTAACGGAAGCCGTCCGGAGCTTAGCTCCCAACTCTTGCGTTTACTTTGCAACATACGTAGTATACTCTACTCTCCGAGTTTTTTTCCGTATTAATGTTAATTAATTAATTATTTACGGAAATAATGCTGAAAAAAAAGTATTTACCAAAATACTGCTGGGGCTTAACCATATTTCAGGGCAAAGTCGCCCAACCGTTGGGCGACTTATAAGTCGCCAAACCGTTTGGCGACTTATAAGTCGCCCAACGGTTGGGCGACTTTGCCCTGAAATATGGTTTCAAGCGAGCAGCTATTGCCAGCCACGCACGATCGTGCCTATTTCCTTAGGCACGATCGTGCCTATTACCTAAAACACCAAATCAGCTTGTTTCTCGCCCCGGTTCAATCCAGACCGATCTGTTTGCTATAAATAAGGTCTCCTTTCTCCTTTTGAAGTGTTACAAACTACATACAACACATGATAATCACCTATTCTCAACAACATAAAAAACACCTTATAAACACCGCTAAAAAACTTTCAAATCATAACCGGTATAACACAGTTCAATCATCATATATGCCATAACAAATAATCATGTAATATTCATACTCGAACACATCAATACAACATAGAATACTTAACAAGAGAAAATACATCAAAACTTGTAAATTGTTCCTACAACATCTATTGCATATGAAAAACTACAATACAAAAGACAAACTACAAGTTCCCATCATCAGCTTCGTCATGGAGATGTTGCTGCTCATGTCTACGCCTACGGCGTTGTCGTGGTTGAAGAACCACTCTCTCATGTTGCGTCTGGGATGATGAAGCCGCGGCTGCACTAGACGTGGATGCCATCTCCTGAGATGCGGGCATGTGTATAAGATGTCCGTAGTCTACTCGACCCAACACATCTGAGCATAACGAGGCAATGCCTGTCAGAGTCTGTCCATACATGTCCACATCAAGAATATCAGTCACAGTGGCAGTAACCCGCTGATGTATGCGCTGCAAAGCTCGGGTCTGCAATACGAAACACAATTACAATTACATTCAAATACATACAAGTATTACATAAATAAAATGACTTACTTTACTAATTAGTAATATACTCACCGTAAGATGCAATGCCAATGAGCTAGGCTGATAATGATGAGTAGGGAGTCTGAACGAAGGAGACACAAACAACCGAGTGATGCTGTAGTACCATCTCATGTAATCTCCTGAAACTGATGGCACATATGTGGGTGTCCCAGCCACCGCTAGCTCAGCTCTCCTATCCCACATAGTCACGTATCGGACATGTCTGAGTGCCCAATCCTCTGTATGCTTCCCACGCCTATCCAGCTTATGCAGCTCTACATAAGTGTCGATAGGACGTGGAATGACCTGCTCAAACCCAAACTGTCGCATGACTCTATCAGGCAAATGAAGCTCAACAATGTCAAAACATATCAGCGGCACACGTGCTCGCCATATGTGAGTCTGCTCTCGTCCAGCTGGGGGCAACTCTGCTAACATATCAGGTCTATACGGCATCCATGTGATCTGTTTCGTAAACATACAAAATTAGTATTTATTCTACACCTATTCTAGTTACTGTTATACTACACACACCATACCTGGTCCTCTGACATCCGATCCAATGCATCCCTGTACACACCGAGGCCAGTAGCGGATGACATGCGAGATAAACCAGCATATAGCCACCTAACCATTAATGTTACAATATCAATTGTTGAGTTTAATCCAACACGATATAGTAAATATATGTATAAATGTGTATGAACAAACTATTTTTACGTGGAAACCCGAAAGGGAGAAAACCACGGGACTTTTTAGGCTAATGTCCAAGCCCTCTCATTCTCATTAGGACTCTCCTCACCATTACAAAGTACATTTTGAGCTCCCATTAATGGAGTCTTGCAAGCTATTCTAGAGAGAAGGAGAAAGAAGGAAAAGGGATCAAAAAGGGGATCCTTTACATGGAGGCTAAGCTCCCTATTTATAGACAAAGGGAAAGGGTGTTCTCCACCCTAATGGGCCAAACGGGCCAATATCGGGCCTAATGGGCCGAAATGGGCCTAGCTGCTCGGGCTCCGTACTGGATAATGTCTTGGGCTCCTGAACAGTAATAGGCCGGGATAATATATCCCAACACAAGTCCCCCAGTTTCTTGAGTAGTGAGTGCGCGAATCTGCTCGAGAAAGTATATTCTTGCCTGCGCTCTGCCTCTGTCTAGCTGGAACCTGTGTCTTCGAATAATCATAATATATGAGTGGATGTCCACACTCCTGAACGTAATCTGCCGGTGAGGCACCCCTCTTCCCGTCGGGGTCGGGCGAAGGGTGCTCCTCCACGGACACACTCCCTCTGAATGCGTCAGGCGGGAGTAAAGGACTCTAACTCGAGCTTTCCAATCGGAGAAGCTTAGAGGTCCATGCATCTATCAACCGATGTCGCGGTACTGTCAAAACATGATGCACATGTGTATGTATGAATGTATGAGGTATGATGCATGAATGCATGAATGCATGTAATGTATGGGTGCAATGTATGAGAGAAGGAATGTGAGATGCGATAGAAAGCGGAGGCTCTCATCGATAACCCGGGCATGTCAGCGCCGAGAGGCAGACGTGCTGCATAAGATGGTCGTCGCCATCCTAGAAGGGATGGGCAATCCGGAGATGAACCCGACACAATGGCACGGAGGGGCCGATTGTGCTGCATAAGAGATGTTCGTCGTCATCCTGGAAGGGATGGGCGATCCGAACACGAGCCAGACACGATGGCACAGAGGCGCTGATCGTGCTGCATACGAGACGTTCGTCGCCACCCTGGAAGGGATGGACGAGCTGAACGTGAGCCGGGTACGATGGCGCTGAGGGGCCGATCGTACTGCATAAGACGGTCGTCGCCATCCTGGAGGGAATGGGAGAGCCGAACCGTGAATCTGGACACGATGGCGCTGAGGGGCCGATCGTGATGCATAAGACGTTCGTCGCCACCCTGGAAGGGATGGACGAGCTGAACGTGAGCCGGGTACGATGGCGCTGAGGGGCCGATCGTACTGCATAAGACGGTCGTCGCCATCCTGGAGGGAATGGGAGAGCCGAACCGTGAGTCTGGACACGATGGCGCTGAGGGGCCGATCGTGATGCATAAGACGTTCGTCGCCACCCTGGAAGGGATGGACGAGCTGAACGTGAGCTGGGTACGATGGCGCTGAGGGGCCGATCGTACTGCATAAGACGGTCGTCGCCATCCTGGAGGGAATGGGCGAGCCGAACCATGAGTCTGGACACGATGGCGCTGAGGGGCCGATCGTACTGCATAAGACGGTCGTCGCCATCCTGGAGGGAATGAGCGAGCCGAACCGCGAATCTAGACACGATGGCGCTGAGGGGCCGATCGTGATGCATAAGACGTTCGTCGCCATCCTGGAGGGAATGGGCGAGCCGAACCGCGAGCTGGGTACGATGGCGCTGAGGGGCCGATCGTACTGCATAAGACGGTCGTCGCCATCCTGGAGGGAATGGGCGATCCGAACCGTGAATCAGGACACGATGGCGCTGAGGGGCCGATCGTGATGCATAAGACGTTCGTCGCCATCCTGGAGGGAATGGACGAGCTGAACGTGAGCTGGGTACGATGGCGCTGAGGGGCCGATCGTACTGCATAAGACGTTCGTCACCATCCTGGAGGGAATGGACGAGCTGAACGTGAGCTGGGTACGATGGCGCTGAGGGGCCGATCGTACTGCATAAGACGGTCGTCGCCATCTTGGAGGGAATGGGCGATCCGAACCGTGAATCAGGACACGATGGCGCTGAGGGGCCGATCGTGATGCATAAGACGTCCGTCGTCACCCTGGAAGGGATGGACAAGCTGAACGTGAGCTGGGTACGATGGCGCTGAGGGGCCGATCGTACTGCATAAGACGGTCGTCGCCATCCTGGAGGGAATGGGCGATCCGAACCGTGAATCAGGACACGATGGCGCTGAGGGGCCGATCGTGATGCATAAGACGTCCGTCGCCACCCTGGAAGGGAATGGGCGAGCCGAACCGTGAATCTGGACACGATGGCGCTGAGGGGCCGATCGTGATGCATAAGACGTCCGTCGCCACCCTGGAAGGGAATGGACGAGCTGAACGTGAGCTGGGTACGATGGCGCTGAGGGGCCGATCGTACTGCATAAGACGGTCGTCGCCATCCTGGAGGGAATGGGCGAGCCGAACCATGAGTCTGGACACGATGGCGCTGAGGGGCCGATCGTACTGCATAAGACGGTCGTCGCCATCCTGGAGGGAATGAGCGAGCCGAACCGCGAATCTGGACACGATGGCGCTGAGGGGCCGATCGTGATGCATAAGACGTTCGTCGCCATCCTGTAGGGAATGGGCGAGCCGAACCGCGAGCTGGGTACGATGGCGCTGAGGGGCCGATCGTACTGCATAAGACGGTCGTCGCCATCCTGGAGGGAATGGGCGATCCGAACCGTGAATCAGGACACGATGGCGCTGAGGGGCCGATCGTGATGCATAAGACGTTCGTCGCCATCCTGGAGGGAATGGACGAGCTGAACGTGAGCTGGGTACGATGGCGCTGAGGGGCCGATCGTACTGCATAAGACGTTCGTCACCATCCTGGAGGGAATGGACGAGCTGAACGTGAGCTGGGTACGATGGCGCTGAGGGGCCGATCGTACTGCATAAGACGGTCGTCGCCATCTTGGAGGGAATGGGCGATCCGAACCGTGAATCAGGACACGATGGCGCTGAGGGGCCGATCGTGATGCATAAGACGTCCGTCGCCACCCTGGAAGGGAATGAGCGAGCCGAACCGCGAATCTGGACACGATGGCGCTGAGGGGCCGATCGTGATGCATAAGACGTTCGTCGCCATCCTGGAGGGAATGGGCGAGCCGAACCGCGAGCTGGGTACGATGGCGCTGAGGGGCCGATCGTACTGCATAAGACGGTCGTCGCCATCCTGGAGGGAATGGGCGATCCGAACCGTGAATCAGGACACGATGGCGCTGAGGGGCCGATCGTGATGCATAAGACGTTCGTCGCCATCCTGGAGGGAATGGACGAGCTGAACGTGAGCTGGGTACGATGGCGCTGAGGGGCCGATCGTACTGCATAAGACGTTCGTCCCCATCCTGGAGGAAATGGACGAGCTGAACGTGAGCTGGGTACGATGGCGCTGAGGGGCCGATCGTACTGCATAAGACGGTCGTCGCCATCTTGGAGGGAATGGGCGATCCGAACCGTGAATCAGGACACGATGGCGCTGAGGGGCCGATCGTGATGCATAAGACGTCCGTCGCCACCCTGGAAGGGATGGACAAGGTGAACGTGAGCTGGGTACGATGGCGCTGAGGGGCCGATCGTACTGCATAAGACGGTCGTCGCCATCCTGGAGGGAATGGGCGATCCGAACCGTGAATCAGGACACGATGGCGCTGAGGGGCCGATCGTGATGCATAAGACGTCCGTCGCCACCCTGGAAGGGAATGGGCGAGCCGAACCGTGAATCTGGACACGATGGCGCTGAGGGGCCGATCGTGATGCATAAGACGTCCGTCGCCACCCTGGAAGGGAATGGACGAGCTGAACGTGAGCTGGGTACGATGGCGCTGAGGGGCCGATCGTACTGCATAAGACGGTCGTCGCCATCCTGGAGGGAATGGGCGAGCCGAACCATGAGTCTGGACACGATGGCGCTGAGGGGCCGATCGTACTGCATAAGACGGTCGTCGCCATCCTGGAGGGAATGAGCGAGCCGAACCGCGAATCTGGACACGATGGCGCTGAGGGGCCGATCGTGATGCATAAGACGTTCGTCGCCATCCTGGAGGGAATGGGCGAGCCGAACCGCGAGCTGGGTACGATGGCGCTGAGGGGCCGATCGTACTGCATAAGACGGTCGTCGCCATCCTGGAGGGAATGGGCGATCCGAACCGTGAATCAGGACACGATGGCGCTGAGGGGCCGATCGTGATGCATAAGACGTTCGTCGCCATCCTGGAGGGAATGGACGAGCTGAACGTGAGCTGGGTACGATGGCGCTGAGGGGCCGATCGTACTGCATAAGACGTTCGTCACCATCCTGGAGGGAATGGACGAGCTGAACGTGAGCTGGGTACGATGACGCTGAGGGGCCGATCGTACTGCATAAGACGGTCGTCGCCATCTTGGAGGGAATGGGCGATCCGAACCGTGAATCAGGACACGATGGCGCTGAGGGGCCGATCGTGATGCATAAGACGTCCGTCGCCACCCTGGAAGGGAATGAGCGAGCCGAACCGCGAATCTGGACACGATGGCGCTGAGGGGCCGATCGTGATGCATAAGACGTTCGTCGCCATCCTGGAGGGAATGGGCGAGCCGAACCGCGAGCTGGGTACGATGGCGCTGAGGGGCCGATCGTACTGCATAAGACGGTCGTCGCCATCCTGGAGGGAATGGGCGATCCGAACCGTGAATCAGGACACGATGGCGCTGAGGGGCCGATCGTGATGCATAAGACGTTCGTCGCCATCCTGGAGGGAATGGACGAGCTGAACGTGAGCTGGGTACGATGGCGCTGAGGGGCCGATCGTACTGCATAAGACGTTCGTCGCCATCCTGGAGGGAATGGACGAGCTGAACGTGAGTTGGGTACGATGGCGCTGAGGGGCCGATCGTACTGCATAAGACGGTCGTTGCCATCTTGGAGGGAATGGGCGATCCGAACCGTGAATCAGGACACGATGGCGCTGAGGGGCCGATCGTGATGCATAAGACGTCCGTCGCCACCCTGGAAGGGATGGACAAGCTGAACGTGAGCTGGGTACGATGGCGCTGAGGGGCCGATCGTACTGCATAAGACGGTCGTCGCCATCCTGGAGGGAATGGGCGATCCGAACCGTGAATCAGGACACGATGGCGCTGAGGGGCCGATCGTGATGCATAAGACGTCCGTCGCCACCCTGGAAGGGAATGGGCGAGCCGAACCGTGAATCTGGACACGATGGCGCTGAGGGGCCGATCGTGATGCATAAGACGTCCGTCGCCACCCTGGAAGGGAATGGACGAGCTGAACGTGAGCTGGGTACGATGGCGCTGAGGGGCCGATCGTACTGCATAAGACGGTCGTCGCCATCCTGGAGGGAATGGGCGAGCCGAACCATGAGTCTGGACACGATGGCGCTGAGGGGCCGATCGTACTGCATAAGACGGTCGTCGCCATCCTGGAGGGAATGAGCGAGCCGAACCGCGAATCTGGACACGATGGCGCTGAGGGGCCGATCGTGATGCATAAGACGTTCGTCGCCATCCTGGAGGGAATGGGCGAGCCGAACCGCGAGCTGGGTACGATGGCGCTGAGGGGCCGATCGTACTGCATAAGACGGTCGTCGCCATCCTGGAGGGAATGGGCGATCCGAACCGTGAATCAGAACACGATGGCGCTGAGGGGCCGATCGTGATGCATAAGACGTTCGTCGCCATCCTGGAGGGAATGGACGAGCTGAACGTGAGCTGGGTACGATGGCGCTGAGGGGCCGATCGTACTGCATAAGACGTTCGTCACCATCCTGGAGGGAATGGACGAGCTGAACGTGAGCTGGGTACGATGGCGCTGAGGGGCCGATCGTACTGCATAAGACGGTCGTCGCCATCTTGGAGGGAATGGGCGATCCGAACCGTGAATCAGGACATGATGGCGCTGAGGGGCCGATCGTGATGCATAAGACGTCCGTCGCCACCCTGGAAGGGAATGAGCGATCCGAACCGTGAATCAGGACACGATGGCGCTGAGGGGCCGATCGTGATGCATAAGACGTCCGTCGCCACCCTGGAAGGGATGGACAAGCTGAACGTGAGCTGGGTACGATGGCGCTGAGGGGCCGATCGTACTACATAAGACGGTCGTCGCCATCCTGGAGGGAATGGGCGATCCGAACCGTGAATCAGGACACGATGGCGCTGAGGGGCCGATCGTGATGCATAAGACGTCCGTCGCCACCCTGGAAGGGAATGGGCGAGCCGAACCGTGAATCTGGACACGATGGCGCTGAGGGGCCGATCGTGATGCATAAGACGTCCGTCGCCACCCTGGAAGGGAATGGACGAGCTGAACGTGAGCTGGGTACGATGGCGCTGAGGGGCCGATCGTACTGCATAAGACGGTCGTCGCCATCCTGGAGGGAATGGGCGAGCCGAACCGCGAATCTGGACACGATGGCGCTGAGGGGCCGATCGTGATACAAAAAAATAGTGATGATCATCTCATGGCCTTCGGCCTCTCGGTGAGTGGTAATCGTCTCATGGCCCTCGGCCGTGCTGGTGATGTGTCAAGTCTCTCTCCTGATTGGCTGTGAGAAGCTTATCGTCTGCCAGGACTCCATCCGGGAAGGAATGGTGAGCCTGAAATAAATCCGGGCGATGTCCCTCCTACCTGATCTGGGGAGCTAATCGTCGTTCGTCTACCGTATCCGTGGTCCTATGTACGGACCGCTAAGCGGTGTACACTCGGTACGCAACAGACTCCGGTGGAGAACTGGTCCTGCGTGTCTGGTCCATGGAGCTGGTCTTCGTTCGTCTACCGTATCCGTGGTCCTATGTATGGACCGCTAAGCGGTGTACACTCGGCACGCAATCGGACTCCGGTAAAGAACTCGATCTTTGTTCTTCCCAAGTCTCGTGAGTACTGGTCTCCTGGTTTCGCAGGAGACGTTCGTCATCCCAACTATGAGAAGAAACAGGTTTATCCACGTCGGGATTCCCAATTCTTCGTTCGTCCCTGTCGTGGTCCTACTAATCTTCTTACTTCGAAGAAGACGTTCGGTCATCCAACGATCGCAAGGAGGAACAGGTTTATCCACGTCGGGATTCCCTATTCTTCGTTCGTCCCTGTCGTGGTCCAACTAATCTTCTTACTTCGAAGAAGAAGTTTGGTCATCCAACGATCGCAAGGAGGAACAGGTTTATCCACGTCGGGATTCCCTGCTTCGTCGTCCCATGCTCGTGGCCCTACTAGCCTTCTGCTTTGGCAGAAGGTGTTATCGATCCACGGGAAATGGGAGGAACTGGTTTATCCTGCCGAGGTTCCCTTTGGTACGTCTAGCCTCCCCCACGTTCTACTAACCTCCGCGTCGGGAGACGTTCGTCATACGCGGCGAAGGAAGATCAGGCATACCTCGTCAAGACTCCCTCTCTCATAGGATCTCGTCTCCCCTTCTCCCCATCTTTTCTTTTTTCTCTCTTTTTTTTTTTTTTTTTTGAAGGAGGAAAATACGTTCATCGGTTCTAAGAATGACCACAAGTGATGTCACACATAATGGTGGTGGGATATCAAAATGAATAGGATGACGAGGCGATGGTAATGCTGGTCGTCATGCGAAGGCGATGGCCACCCTCCTGAAGGGAGGGGTGAGCCCGATCGCTAACTCAAGAAGGTCGGCATTGGGAGCCGATATACAATGATCATAATGTCGCTGGGCAGTCGGTCCTGATAATGGAGATGGCAATAGTGTCCGGTCAGGCCGATATATCCGAGCAACGGCTCTCATCCAACGCAGCGCGGGGATGAAACCGGTCTTCAAAAGATAAATATGTCGTGCCGAGAGGCCGAACATAACATGATAGTGTCGGCAGTGAGAAGCCGACCTGAAAGAATCAAACAACGGTCCTTGTCCGCAAGGTGGCGGGGACAAGGCCGATCTTCAGAAGACAAGCACGCCGAGCCGAGAGGCCGGTCGTGGTATAATGGTGTCGGCAATGAGCGGCCGATCTGAGAAAATCAAGCAACGGTCCTCGTCCGTGAGGGCGGGGACGAGGCCGGTCTTCAAAAGATAAGCACGCCGAGCCGAGAGGCCGGTCGTGGTATAATGGTGTCGGCAATGAGAGGCCGACCGGAAAGAATCAAGCAACGGCTCTCATCCGCGAGGAGCGAGGACGAGGCCGGTCTTCAAGTATGGAACACACGCCGTGCCGAGAGGCCGGTCGTGATATCATAGTGTCGGCAATGGGAGGCCGACCTGATGTAAGGATGGTCTCACGGCCCTCGGCCGTGATGGTCTCCTCTAGGCCCTCGGCCTCTGAATGATGGATGATCGTCTCACGGTTCTTTGTCATGGCATTCGCCTCTAGACCTCGGCCTCTAGGTGTTCTTCCTAGGCCATCGGTCTCTGGGGTGGAGATGCTCGTCCCACTGCTCTCAACCGTGGTGGTCTCCTCTAGGCCCTCGGCCTCTAGGTGGAGATGCTCGTCTCACGGTCCTCAGCCGTGATGGTCTCCTCTTTAGTCGGCCCTGCACGTCTTCAGGACTCGGGCCGAGCGTCTTCTAATCATTCCGCTCGAGCACATCGAGTGGCTTCAGCTGCGCAATAAGCATGGTAACGGGCCGCACGGCCCGACAATAAATATGCACACATAACCATCTGCATGGCTTTATCTTTACATCCACGATTATCGGCCTATGGGTCATCGTGACCCTCGGCCCGGCTCATCGTGCGGGGTTAAGGGACGTAGCAGCTCGCGGCGGGGCCAATTAGCAGCCCGCCGAATGTCACACAGAGATATTCATCGGTCTGTGAGTTTTCAAACTCAGACCCAAGTTGGTCGCACCGCCCTCGGAAACACGAGGCCGAGCGCTTTGGCGCCCTCGGGGCCCCACAGGCCGCGTCTGGCAATAGTCACTTCGCGCCTAATGGCGTAGATTACATTGGGGTATGATCGTCGATCGGGCACGTAGTGCCATGCGGACCAATGCACAACCCTCAAATTAAAATGCGTCGTCGGGTCATCACCCTTCTGGAGACGCTCGGATCACTTAATCAAGCTGATCGAGAGTGGGCCAACAGGCCCACAAGAAATTAAATATTCAATAAAATGTTGGCTGAACCAACCATCACCAGAGCTTCGCTCCACATTATTCAATTCGGGACATTTTATCCCTAATAAATAATAGTGATGTACAGGCAATAATACTGATATTATCCTATGATAGGTCATTCAGATATGCTCCGTTCGCTAATTAAAGCCGATCAGGAGCGGGCCGACGGGCCCACAACAACCAGTCATTAAATTTAAATGACGGTGAAACTAGTTATCACTAGAGCTTTACTCACTTGAATTTTGCTCGACATTATTTATTTCGGGAGATTATATCGCGTAATAAATGATGGATAAAAATACTAGCAATATTTCTACTCCCTTACTAGTTACGTGCTTTAATAAAAGGTTGAGTTAGAGCACTTAGCTTTAGAAGGGAGGCTCGGGCAGCCATGCCATTTTGTGGGACCAGATTGCATCCATTGTATGGATTTTGGTCAAAATTATTCAACCCATGGAGTACGCACACCGTGCTACCAAAGCCCAAGCTAGAGAGAGCCCATTTTGACTTGGTCAATCCCTCCATAAACCTGGTGCCAAGTTTGACTTTGCCTTCGTTTGGCAACTGAGGCCCTGTTCTCTGTAATCATCTCTACGGACGTGGCCCGTTTGCAACCAAATGAACATACTCCATTAACCAACACCAAAAACAGCAGTGCCAGTGGATACGGTGATTGCAGCAGAGCAAGGGCGGCGAGAGGGGTTATCCCCCGTTGGAAAATCGGCTGGGCTACATAGTATACCTTCCTGAGCTCCAAGCCGCCGTTAATGGCGGGTATCAAGAGGTCCCAGTCAGAATATCCCTCAGGCCGCATCGGGGGAGTGGCTGGTGATGGCTCAAGCAGAGACCGACCAGTCGGGGAGCGGCATACGGTGGGACGCCGAGGACGAGCGGCGGCGTGGCGGCTCAGGCGGCAGAATCAGCTGCCGGCGACGAGCTCCCGTGTTGCAGACGGAGCTTCACTAGGAGCGAGGATAACGAGGTCTGGAGTGCTGCGGTGAGTTTCGTCTGGTGCAGGCAAGCCCACCGGCGGTTCGACGGCGGCAAGGACGGTGATGGAGGCTCCGGCGACCTCGAGTAAGATCTGGAACTTCCAGCTAGCCAAGGAGCAGCAGCGAATGGCTCATGGCGGCAGCGTGGTTGCTGACAGAGCTCCGACGGGCCCAGACTTCCGAAATTCCAGATCTGAAGATCTTGCGGATTTATCCTTTTTCCAGAATCATTTTTTGTTTGCATTTTGTCGAAAATCAGTTCTTCGGATCACTCTTTTCACAAAAACTGAAGAACACATGTAATCTTTTTGAACTGATTCCCACAGACGGCGCCAGTGTTGAGTTTAATCCAACACGATATAGTAAATATATGTATAAATGTGTATGAACAAACTATTTTTACGTGGAAACCCGAAAGGGAGAAAACCACGGGACTTTTTAGGCTAATGTCCAAGCCCTCTCATTCTCATTAGGACTCTCCTCACCATTACAAAGTACATTTTGAGCTCCCATTAATGGAGTCTTGCAAGCTATTCTAGAGAGAAGGAGAAAGAAGGAAAAGGGATCAAAAAGGGGATCCTTTACATGGAGGCTAAGCTCCCTATTTATAGACAAAGGGAAAGGGTGTTCTCCACCCTAATGGGCCAAACGGGCCAATATCGGGCCTAATGGGCCGAAATGGGCCTAGCTGCTCGGGCTCCGTACTGGATAATGTCTTGGGCTCCTGAACAGTAATAGGCCGGGATAATATATCCCAACATCAATAATATGGATTTTATTAATGCATTTACATTCAACAAAAACTAACACAAATACAAACGATTGAAAACATACCGACGGCCTAGAGGGTCCACGCCCCGTACATGATGTGGTCCTAGCAGACGTGGAGGCTCATCAGGCAGTGGCTGTCCATCAATGCCATGATATCCAACTATAATGGGACGGCCAATGTGGATATACTCCCATGACCAAATCTGGAGGAGTAGCAAAAATCCCCCCAGCTCTGTGCTCCCTCTCTGGCACCCGCGACACAGCTGCCTGTAGAGATAAGCCAGGGTGGCACTACCCCAGCTAAACTGTGCTGCTACATCAAACCTCTCCAGCAAAGGCAGGTGTAGCACCTGAACCTCATTTCCGCTCTTGTCAGCGAAAATGGAGGCTCCCATCATCATCAATATATACGCCCGAGCATGCTGCTGGATGATCATCTCATCAGCGTCGGGAGGAAGGGCCTGGAAGTGCTCCCTCAACCATGGCATCCTAAGAGATGACCCCTGAAGGTCAGCCCTAAGAACGGGGCGGATGCCTAACAACCTCTCACACTCATCCACCCACTGTCGACAAGCAGTGCCTGTAACAGCTCTCCCATCAACCTCTAACCCAGTCAGTACAGCCACATCTTCCAATGTCACAGTGACCTCACCAACAGGGAGGTGAAATGAATGTGTCTCCTGCCTCCAACGCTCAAGTAGAGCAGTGAGGAGGGCTCTATCTAAAGGCACAGTAGCCACTAACCTGTGCAGTGTAAAAAAACCTGCTGCACGAACATATGCTATGACTCTGGGGTCGACATGTAAATGGGACAAACCCCGCAGATGCTCGCGACACCTATCAACCTGCACATCCATGCCAAGCCAAACATCCTCACTCCTATGTGAGGCCTGCAGTGTCAGGACAGAAGGATCACTCGGCCCAGGATCCGCTATCACCTCCATGCCTACAAACAAAATTTGTATTAGTTCTAATTGTATTAGTTGTAATTGTATAATGTATTACATTTTTTTTAACTTCCTTTTTTGAATTTATTAATTTTCCTTGCAAGGAAATAATGAATTATGATTGACTCTAAATATACACATACCCGGCGGACCCCCCCTCTTGTCTAGATGATCTCTTTGCACATGTCGCTCTATTATGGCCGGTTTGGTGGCATCTTCCACATCTAACCGTTCCTCGTGGGCCTTCATCCATCTCATTCTTAATACGGGTCGACTTTGGTCTTCCCTTTGCCCGAAGCATGGATGGATCGTGCACGATTTCGGGTCCATTGTAATTTGGCCAATAATCACGATCAGGAATCGGTTTGAACACCCTATGATACGTGGCGGCGTATTGGTCAGAAGAGAAGAACTTATCCACAAATGGAGCATAAGACAAACTACGTTGTCTACACACGGCTAATACATGGGAGCAAGGAATCTTGTATATCTCCATCTTTTTGCAAGTGCACGTTTTCCGTTGTAGATGGACAGTTTGTTTTCTCCCACCCTTTCCCAACGTTCTGCCACCACAACCGGTCTCCACCTGAAATATACCTCGCCCTAAATCAAAAGGAGTGACAATGTGATGCTTTGCCTTCTCTCTATTTTTTTCAATTAAATCTGTGATGTATGGGGAGTACTCGTGGCCTTGTGTGAGCCTCAACTTACTAGTTTCACGCCTATTCACAAAGTACGCATTAACCCGGTAAAAAGACACCTGGACCAAGGCGGTAATGGGCAAATATCTAGCATTTTTCATGACGCTATTGAAAACCTCAGCCAGATTTGAAGTGATGGTACCGTATCTGTACCCGCCATCATGGTGTAGCGACCACATTTCTGGAGGAATGTTGGCCAAAAATTGTCGTGCATCCCTACTCATTTCACCTATCTTCTTGAACCCACCATCAAATTTTTTTTTCTGATGTTGCCGTGCGGTCCACACAAATAGATTTTTTAAATGAATGTCTTTGAAATGAGTGTGCACATTTGAAGCAAGATGACGGATGCATAGCCTATGATGCGCATAAGGCTCCTCCCAATTACTTCCAACCTCATTCATTGCCCTAACAATACCTCCATGTCTATCTGAAATGACACACAACTCCCTGTTAGTCACAAAATGCCTAATACATGCCATAAACCATGGCCAACTGTCTCCATTCTCGGATTCAACAACTGCAAAGGCGACTGGGAAAATTTGGTTGTTCGCATCACAACCCATGGCCACGAGCAATGTGCCCTTGTACTTTCCATACATGTGTGTGCCATCAATAGTAAGTACGGGTCGACAATGCTTAAAACCAGATATTGATGCCTTGAATGCCCAAAAAACTCTTTGAAACATCATATAACCTGTCGCACCATTGGGGGGTGGGTACCACTGAACAACAGTTCCTGGATTAGAATGTTGGAGCGCTGTCATGAAACGGGGCAATTCGAAATATGACTTTTCCCAACCGCCAAATATTTGTGCTATGGCCTTTTGCTTCCCCATCCATGTTCTCCGGTAAGATACCGTATACCCATATTTTTCCTTCAACATCTCGATGATAGTATGCACTTTAAGAGAAGGATCAGTGCGAATAATGTCAACCACATCTTTACAGATGAATTCTGATGTCAAGGCCACGTGATCTGTAGTGTCGATGTTGCCTACACAAGAAGCAGAATGAGGTCCAGAATAACGCACAATTGTGAAGGTGTCAAGGTTGCCTTTGTTCTTTGTGGCGCGTATTCTCCAGGGGCATTGACATTCTTTCTTCCTTTTGCATTGTGCCACCCATTTGTGTTTGTCGGACTCTATCACCCGATAGAATTGGTTCCGTTTGATAGAATACAAGCTCACCATATTGATGACTTGTTCTTTGTTGTCAAACTGTTGACCGACCTCAAACTCACCATCGGGGGTAAACCTTTTCTCACCTGATCCACTCATCCACGCATCAGTAAAACCTTCAGGGAGATCATACATTCTAGTGAAGTGGCTAGACGGGGCAGTTGATGTCACAGTATCACCATCATCTTCATCAGATTCTGTCATGTCGTCACCATTGATGTTCTCGTCTGCATCATCATCACTTCCCTGCCCATCCACAAATGATGCACCGTTGTGCAAATACCTGCCATCCTCCTGTATAACCATGTCTAGTACAGGAACCTTTGACGACTTCCCTGCATTCACCCCTGCAATGACATCATGCCTAGATACACCAGCATTTGATGTCGATTGAGTAGCATTAGCGTCAAAGCATTCCTCAATGTATACCTCCAGCGACGACATATCCTCCATCTGAATTATGCCCCACATATTTGTTATAGCTAGCTCATCAATGAGCGGCATAAGCATGTACTTTCCCCCGTTCATGGGAAATTTCATTTTCAACCGCAATGAACGGCCGGGATGAATCATTGTCGCTGCATGTATTTTTTGAAGGATCTCGACCATGCAAGCGCCACGAGAAACCATGACAAAGCTCGTTCTGCCACCTTCATGGCATATTTGCCCACCATTCTCATAATAGTTCCCTCCCTAATGACACACGAGTGGGAAGCTTGAGAAATCCATCTTCTAATAACAACTCATTGTCCAACATTCATGAGTAGGCATCAATATACACACTTTATACACATTCACATTTTTAATAGAAATTGCTTCCAAAATTGTAATATATCATTAACTCCAAATTCACAAACAATTCACATTTCAATAACAAACTACCCAAATTTTGATATCTACATTCAATGTCTACCTTTGAATACCCAAATTTAGGTACATTCAACTATACCCAAATGTCCAAATGTCAAAATACACATTACAATTTACAAACAATTTAAAATCATATTTCAACATTTCATACATATTCACATTTCACAACAACTTCATTCACAATCAATTCATAATCCCAAAATTAAAAAAAAATTAACATTCTAAACCCTAAGTGCAAAATTATATGAAATGGATTTGGATTTACCTAGAATAAGGAGTAAAGAGTGTTGAAGATGAAGATGGAGGGTTGCCGGAGTTGAGTCGCCGGAGATGGAGGAGCGCCGGAGATGGAGATGGCGGTTCGTCCGTCTTCTTCTTCGTCCGTCGCAGCAGCTATGGGGGAGGCTTCTGTGAAGTGTTCTGTTTGGGGCGAGACCCGATTTTTACTTAAGGGAAAGTCGCCCAACGGTTGGGCGACTTATAAGTCGCCAAACCGTTTGGCGACTTATAAGTCGCCCAACCGTTGGGCGACTTACCCCCGACCATGGTTAACCCAGCAGTATTTTGGTAAATACTTTTAACCCAACCCTATTTTCGTAATTAATTAATTAATTAACATTAATACGGAAAAAAACTCCTACTCTCCTCCCTTCAAACTTTTTCAATTTTGCTTTTTTTATTGTTTACTAATTTTGTCATTTTTCTTTTTAATTAAAGAATTAGTGATTTCATTTAATTATCTCTCTTCTAAACAAATCTAAATCATACATTTTTTATTTTATTAATGTTTGTACCCGTCAACTTGATCAAATTTTAAGGACTAGAGAGCATACAAATTTGAGCTAGTCCAAGCGGCTCATGTCCATAAAAGTGGTAAATGTAAGTGGTAAAATTTGATCTGGCGTACTAAGTTCGAGTCCTTTTTGGTGGCTAACGGTCTCTTGGACATTCTTGATGGGTCTCTTCCAGCTCTGCCTCTGTATACCTATGATTTATATCATGTTCAATCTATTAATCATGAATATTATCATTGGTTAAAATTGGACCAAACTGTTCGTGCTTGATTATTTGCTACTCTTTCTCGTGAAATTTTGATGGAGGTTCACACCTTGAAAAATACTACGGCAATATGGAAACGTTTGGAATCCTGATTCATGGCTGCAATGCTGATCTTATTCAACATACACTTTTGGGTTGGAAGTGGGATATGAGTCACTTGTGGGGCCCCTTACCTTATTTCCAGAAGGTCTCACTTTTGACTCACTGTGCACAAAATTGGTCCATCAAGAGGCACGTCTGCGCTATCAACAATCTTTGGAAACAACAGCCAATACTCCGTCGTTTGTTGCATCCTCATCGACAGGGGGTGTCCCTGCGGCTTTTTCCTCTAGCAGGCGGTAGCAGCCGCAGATGTAATACTTAAGATTTAATTTAACGAATTAATAGTACTACTCATAACAACAAGGTGCATCTCCTTTTAAGGGAGCTCATCACCTAAGAACTCCAAGTTAATCGTGCTTGCACGAGAGTAGTCTTGGGATGGGTGACCCCCCTAGGTAGTTTCTCAGGGCGCGCACGAGTGAGGACAAAGTGAGCGGAAAAAGATTGTGGTGGTTTGTGAGGACAGTACTAGAGGTCCACAGATGTGTAGGAGTAACTAGGCACTATGAGGGAGGGTGTTACATGTGGTATTAAAGCAACCCTGCGACAGTGTGTTGATCTGTAGGATATCGGGCGGGCACTTAGCAGGGGATGATTTTGGGGTATCATTGAGATTGGTTTATAGGAGCAACGATGATGTTGTGTTCCTAAGTGGGGGTGATTGTAATACGTGAGATTTAATTTAATGTATTAATAGTACTACTCATAACAACAATGTGCATCTCCTTTTAAGGGAGCTCATCACCTAGGAACTCCAAGTTAAGCGTGCTTGCAAGGGAGTAATCTTGGTATGGGGTCGTAGCAGACGGCGCAACCACAGAGGCAGGGGGCGTGGCCGCGGCAGGTGCCAGTCACAGCAGCAGGCGTTTGACCCTCCTCCACCTCACTTTGACCATGGACCGCATCACTGCATCCGGCAATTTCCGGTCGGGGAGCTCACCAGCAGAATAATTGGGGACCAAGTACAATTTTATGTATTACAGTTGAGTCATCGTATTATACTCATGTCCTCTCTTGTTTTTGTACCAATTATGCTTCTGCAGGATCTCCATCTTTTGAGAATAGTTTGGTTCAGTTCATCCACCTGTCGTCTGTCAAACGTGCTCGTTTTGTTCAAGCTCAGGCTCCTGCCTAGGTTGTCTCTACTGGTGAATCCACTCCAGTTGTTTAGTATCTTGACGCAGGTGCTTCTGATCATATGACTTCCAATGAAGGTATTTTAGAAAATAGATCTATTTATTTTGGATCGCTAACTATTACAGTTGCAAATGACTCTAATCTTTCTATTATGACTGTTGGTGATTTGCATTTATCTATTACGCCTCGATCTCTCCATTTAAAATTTGTTTATCATGTTAATAATCTTAAATATAATTTACTCTCCATCAAACGCTTATGTGCCGATAATAATTGTTTTGTGATTTTTGATAAAAATTCTATTTGTGTTAAGGACACAATTTCGGGGAAGGTGCTCCTCCAAGCTTCAGTAATGGTGTTGTTTATCCTCTTTCCCTTACTCATTCTTCACCAGTAGCTCTCAGTTCTCATGTTGCTCTCGGACCGGTCTGACATCGTCATTTGGGACATTGTGGCAGTCGTATTTTAGATAAACACTAAAAGTGTGGAGCTATTCTTAGTATTTCTATTTTTCTCATGATTGTATTTCTTGTCGCTTAGTAAAATCACAACGATTACTTTTTCAAGAAATATGGCATAAATTTACTGCTCCTTTATTTTTAATTCGTTCTGATGTTTGGCAGTCACCTGTTCTCTCTGAAAGTGACTTTAAATATTATGTTTTATTTATTGATGATTTCTCTCATTTTACTTTGCTTTATCCCAGGTGTCATAAAAGTGAGGTGGTGAGACACTTTCAACATTTTAAATTAATGGTGGAAAATTTACTTGACTCTAAAATTGAAAAAATTCGAAGTGATGGAAGCGTGAATTTGATAATCATGGAATGCGTCATATTTTTACCAAAAATGATATTTTGTTTCGCAAGTCTTGCACAACACTCCTGAACAGAATGGAGTAGCTGAGCGAAAACATATACATTTACTTGAATTAACTCGTACTACACTTTTTGAAGCAAAATGCCATCTAAATTTTGGGTAGATGTTGTGTTTACCGCTACCTATATTATCAATAGGCTTCCTACTCCAACTTTAAATTATTTCATCATTCTCCCAACTCTTTTATGTGTGTGTTCAGTTGTGTTTGTTTTCCGAATTTTAATGTCACTTTATCCAACAAACTCTCTCCTAGATCCAGTCTATGTGTCTTCTTAGGATATGCCACTGTTGACCGGAACCAATTGGCTAAACTGAACCGATCAGGAATTGGTATTCTTGTTCTCAATTGGGGTAAACTAATGGACAAAAATAAGACTACTTTTAAATGTTTCCAAAAAAGAGACTTATATGACTTTTATTCCCTCCCTAGTTACAGTTACTCACTTTGCTCAGTCACAATTACTAAACTTGCCCAATTACAATTAACTAACTCAATCAGTTACAGTTACCTGAATCAATTACAGTTATAGTCACATTCGTTCAACAACCTCATTTTCAAACAAATCTACAATGATACTACCACCCACCGCCACAACGTTGCCAGCCCACCGATGGCCTATTACCACCACCACACGCCCCAGACCCCGTCTCTGTTTCCCACCCCCACCCCTTGTACTGCCCCCTGCCCCCTCCCCAAATTCGGGTCCTACCAACTCAACCCAGCCGCATCCTAACCCCAACCACCGCCACTGTAAACCCAGCTGCCACCCCTCTTCAGCCAAAGCTCCGACCAGCCGTAGCCATAGCCGCCACGTGCGGTTATCGATAGCCAACATCTCATCATTGCCCTGCCGATCGTGACTATGAAACCCTAGATCTGCCGATTTGGAGTCCAAATGTGAAGCCCTAGATGTCGGGTCCAGCGCCAAGTCGCTGCCATCACCATGTCGCCTCCATTGCCAGATCGCTGCCATCGCTGGGTCAGAAGATAATTCGAGAGGGTGAGAAGACGAGAAAGAAAATAAGAGCACCAACGATTGCCGCGTGGGATGTCGAAGGCGGTGTGGATGTGGCGATAACATTAAGACGGCAGCGGCGTGGAGATGGGAGTTCTGCGATTGGGGCAAAGAAGGAGGCGAAGATGCCGAAAAGATAAGGGGTATTATTGTACATTAAGTGTTATTGGTTCTCATTTTTGTCCTAATTGAAACATGGTCCCGTTTTTGTCAACTTAAAAGGGCATAGTATTATTTCAGCCATTTTTTCTTCCCAATTCATAGTTTTAGGGGGTGTTTGGAACTGATTCTGCCTCTGCTTCTTTTTCAAAACAAAAGCAGAATCAGAATTAGTTTTCAGAAGCTGGTCTCCCCCAACTTCTTAAAAAACTGATTCTAGGAGTAAATTGGAGCACCAGAATCACTTTTGCACTTTCAGCCCAAATACTCAACTTCTATTTCTGCTCCTTCAGGGAATCAGATCCAAACACCCCCTTATTGTAACACCTCGACCCCGCAAGACCCAAGGTAGTTACTCCACACACCATCCAGACCTCTAGTACTGTCCTCACAGACCGCCACTAACCTTTTTCGCGCACATTGTCCTCACTCGTGCGCGCCCTACTCTCGTGCAAGCACGCTTAATTTTGGAATTCTTGGTGATGAGCTCCCTTAAAATGAGATGCATCTTGTTGGTATGAGTAGTACTATTAATCCATTTAAATTAATCTCAAGTGCTACACTTATTCCAAAGGAGCTAGGCTGACCTTGAAACAAGAGCAGCCGTGAAATTGGACCAAATCACCCCTACTTGAAAGGGAGCCGACCAATAAATAAAAATAAAAAGTGAAATGCAATTTGATCTTGTTTTCACTCTTGATTACCTAAATGGCTACAAAGAGTATAATATTAGCATGGAACGAGTTGTATTTTGCGCAAAAAAGTTGCAGAACTTTATGAAATGGCCCCAATTAAGAGTAAACATTTAGGGTTTTCAAAATAGGAGCAATATGTTTTTGTTGTCTAATTATGAGTAATTGTTGTCATGCTTGAAAAATACTGCCACACATGGCAATAGGTTGTCATATTTTTTTGGAAGAAAATGACTTATATTGAATAATCAAAATTCAGCCAAGTTACAAAAAGACAAAAAGTCTCCTTCTAACTGTTTGTTCTCAAACCAGTCTTAAAGTCAATCACCTACAAGAAAGCAATATGACTCATGATCCTATAATGGGCTTAATTGAGCCAATAACGAGCGAAATAGACTTTTCATCATCCAACTTAAATTCTAGAGTTCAGTTAGTAGGAACAAATACAAAACTAAAACACCATCTAATTTGAAATAAAAGATAAAATTTAAATAAAGTTGTCTCCTCATAATCACAAGAAATATTGAGCTCGTACCCATGGAGGTACAACCTCCTCAAAGACCCCGGCAAGCCTAGTAGCCAGGACCGCCTCCTCACCGTTTTTTGGCTCATCTAGCAGGGTTATGCCTTCAACCATCTAATCCTCTGTCTCCCGCTCCCTGGTGTCGCTCCTTTTATCTCCAATTTCTTTGATCGGTACACCTCCTCCAGGACGTCATATGGAGGCCATAATCTCTCTGAAAATATGAAATTTCACCATTCTAGCTGTCAGTAATGGACTAATGGTTGTGCCTATTACCAAGAATACCTCTCGTTCGATTTCCGCCTCTTCACCGTCGCCGCCTTCCTCAAAGATCAGTCTGTTCTCCTCCCTCCAATGTCCAAGTTATCATATACTAGTTGATCATGGATTCCATAGCAGCATCCTACCAGATACCTCATGCTTAGCCATTAAAAGTGTCACGCCCCGGACCTATCCGGACACGTCAACAACCCGCCGTACAATATGAATAGTCAACCGCAGTCCAACACATTCATATTATACAAGGCGTCTTGAATATCATTCACACATATACATCCATAAACAAACATAATAAGTAATTCATAACGCAGCGGAAACATTGTTTAAAACAAAAGAGCCACACAGGGCTATTCATGAGCACGCAGGCTCTATAGTAAAATATCCATGAGCAAATTTATTAATGTTTCAAATAGAACGGAGGAAGCACGAACCAAGTCTTCTCTCCGAGGGATCACCCGATCAACGAGCACATGATGCAAGCTCTAGCCTCAACCTGAAATGGTGGTGGGACGCCCCCGAAGGGGTCAGTACTCTATACGGCTATAAAGTACTGGTGTGGCAGGCATCTAATAGATATACAACAAGTATTTCAAACACAAGACCCTCAAATAGGGTGATAGTACATTATGATTGTAACTCTAAGTTACCCCGTTTAAAAATATACTTACTTTATATAAAAGTCAAGTAGCCGGCCCGTGGGCCCATGTTCATTTGGAAATCACCATTCCCAACCCCGTGACTATAAGCCACGACAACTCCTAGAGTCCAACCCTAGTACATGACATTGTATTCTAGAGCTCGGCTCTACCACATCACCATACAATTCATATACCTCGGGTCAATTTCCTTATCTTGCGTTCTAGAGCTCGGCTCTATCACATCACCACGCAAGTCCTAGAGCTCGGCTGTAGCTATACAACACATAGACTCCAAGTCTACACCTTACATGCATTCTAGAGCTCGGCTCTATCACATCACCATGCATTAAGGTCCAATTCTCAAGCAACCCTATGCCTAGAATTGACATATAAATAAACTACCATGGGTCATCCTTAAAGACTTCCCATAACTTAACCTTAGTTCCTTACTAAGTTATTAGATACACTTGAACTACATTCAAGTATCTTTCATACAATCCAATCCCTAGGATCAATTTAATCAACAAGTTCCAATAATCACTAACTAGTATTTCAATACTATTAAGATTATTGTTATCATACCATTATCCTCATTATTTGTAATTCTCTACATAATTATAATTATGTAGCAGCAACTTAAGTATTCAATCTCAATACACAATTATTCATTTATGTAACCATCATAATTCATGAAAAATAATGATTTAAGCATTTAGGTAATCTCATGCTTAACCTACAAGTTGTAAGCAATTAGATGTCAATCCTCACCTCAATTGAGCTTTAAACTTTCCCTTCTTGGTCCAATGGTCAAAGCTTCGGTCAAGGTGGATTTGGAACTGATTCCTTGCTTAAATATGAGTGTTAAACAGCCCCTTCAAGGTGCTAGCTCAACCCCTAAACGTTGGTACGAAAACAGCCCCTAGAATGGGTGTTTTCCGGCTAACTCGTTTCCTAGTTTTCCAAGATTTGTTCTAGGTTAGTATCTAACCTTTACATCAACAAAATAACTTAATAGGGACATATTATACACTTGGAATAGTGTATAATAGTTCCACCAATCGTTCATATCATTTGGAAAATGAATGGAAAGGTTTTGGGATTAACAACTCACTTAGAAGAGTAAATCCGTTCCTGCGAGGTCGCGTTCTGCTCGGACGATTTGGAAGCCTTACTCTACTCCGATTGATGCAAACCAGACCTTCACGGATTCCTCGTCTTGAGAGCTTTCTTTTGGTATCTCACACGCCTTAATTGGATTGGTAAAACTCGAGATATCAACCAAACAGTCTCAGCACTCCCACAGCTCGAGTTCACAGACCACTGCTCGTTCCAGATCGATTTTTGGATGATTGCTCTCTCTACTCGAACAAAGGCCACTCAATTATGAAACTAAACTTCAAAGGCTATCCAAGGACACCTTATACACCTCATTTGGACGAGTACAACTCTCAAAATGAAGGGAGACAAAACACACCCATGATTTGTGCGGAAATAGACAAGGTGGGTCTCAAGGTTGATTCCAATCAAGTCTTGTGCAGCCCTCCTCCAGCTTGTGAGGCCAAGGTAAGTCTCCTCACTTATTGTTCTTGTTTTGCAGGTACTATAATCATGTGGAGTGGTTCCCAATTGATCCCAATTAATTTGGGGTCCAAATTATCTACCAATACTTCCAAAAATGGGGAAAATGGGTCCTATTGTTTTATCTTTGTCAAAAGATGTCCTTTTTTTTTTGTATTCATCCTAATTTATTTAGGACAAGTCAACTTCCTACATCCCATTATTGATCTACCATATGTGTAGGCTCATCTCGATAATTTACATGATGAAAATTACAAAAGAATACGGGTTTGAACAATACAATATTCAATCATGCACTTCGCAACATATTAATCGTTTTTTCCATTGTTTTGAAATCGGGAATTCAATACATCACTTTTGAATTTTTAAATCGAATTTCCAAGGACGTTCGGGTGCGGTGTCACAAGTTCACTCCCCCTTAACAGGAATTTCGTCCCCGAAATTCACAGCTCTACTCGAATAGGAACGCATACTGCTTCCTCATCAAAGCCTCTGTTTCCCATGTCTCTTCCTCGACCCGATCGCTCTTCCACAGGACTTTAACCATTGGGACTTCCTTGCTCCTCAGTTTCTTCACCTTTCTATCGGTGACCTTGATAGGTTGAACAGTGTAGTTCAAATCCTCACGTACCTCTACAGGTGGCTTCTCCAATACGTGAGAGGGATCATGCACATACTTCTTAAGCATGGATACATGAAACACATTATGTATCTTCTCTAACTCAGGAGTCAACTGTAGACGATATGCAACGGCCCCAATCCTCTCTATAATCCTGAATGGACCTATATATCGTGGGTTAAGTTTTCCTCGGGTTTGGAACCGAATGATCCCTTTCCAAGGAGAAACTTTCAAGAACACTTCGTCATCAACCTTAAACTCTAAGATCCTTCGACGCTTGTCTGCATAACTCTTTTGTCTATCCTGAGCCGCTTTGAGTCTCTCTCGAATCAACTTCACCTTTGATTTGGTGACCTCAACCAACTCAGTACCCTCGAGTTTGGCCATGCCAACCTCGTCCCAGCATAACGGTGTACGGCACCTCCTCCCATACAATGCCTCGTATGGAGGCATGCCGATGCTTGCCTGATAACTGTTGTTATAGGCAAACTCCACAAGTGCTAAGTGGTTGTCCCAACTTCCTTGGAACTCCAATGCACAAGCCCTCAGCATGTCTTCTAGGATCTGTATGACTCTTTCAGACTGCCCATCCGTCTGTGGGTGGAAAGCAGTACTAAACTTCAACTTCGTGCCCATAGACTCCTGAAATTTTGGCCAAAAACGTGATGTGAATCGTGGGTCTCTATCAGATACAATGGTCACTGGGACCCCATGCAGCCTCACGATCTCATCCGTATACAATTTGGCTAACCTCTCAAGTGGGTAAGTAGTGTTGATAGGCAAGAAGTGTGCACTCTTCGTGAGCCTATCTACCACAACCCAAACTGCATCATAGTTCCTGATTGTTCGTGGTAAACCTATCACAAAATCCATAGTCACGTGTTCCCACTTCCATTCAGGAATAGAAAGTGGTTGCAATAAGCCTGCTGGATGCTGATGTTCTGCCTTAACTTGTTGACAAGTAAGGCATCGACTGATATATTCGGCTATTTCTCTCTTCATACCCGACCACCAGTAACTCTCCTTCAAGTCGCGGTACATCTTCGTGCCCCCCGGGTGCATGGCATAAGCCGATGAATGAGCTTCCTCTAAGATGGACTTTCGGAGCTCATCATCTGCCGGTACACACACTCGGTCACGAAATAACAAGAGACCATCATCTCTTTCCCTGAAATCCTCCACTGGTCCCGCTTGCATGCGTTCCCGGACCTTCATCAGTTCTGCGTCAGTCTCTTGACCCTTCTTGATCTCATCAAGTAAGGTCGGTCTCACTTCGAATCGTGCCAATAAAGCACCGTCGTTAGATACATCCAATTGGGCCCTCAGTGCTCTCAAACAAGTCAACAATGCCCCAGACGAATTCTTCCGACTAAGGGCATCTGCTACAACATTTGCCTTGCCTGGATGGTACTCAATAACTAGATGGTAGTCCTTTATCAACTCCATCCACCGTCTCTGTCTCATGTTTAACTCTTTCTGAGTAAACACGTACTTCAAGCTCTTATGATCAGTATATATATGACATGTCTCTCCGTAGAGATAATGTCTCCAAATCTTCAGTGCAAACACCACTGCCCCCAGCTCCAAATCATGAGTAGGATAATTCACCTCATGCTTCTTCAATTGTCGTGAAGCATAGGCGATTACCCTCCCGTTCTGCATCAGTACACATCCAAGCCCTTGGATGCTCGCATCGCTATAGACATCGTACCCCACACCTTGTTTGGGTAATGCAAGTACCGGTGCCTCAGTCAATCTCTTCTTTAGTTCCATGAATCCCTCCTCACATTTGTCATCCCATACAAACTTGGCTCCCTTTCGAGTGAGCTTCGTCAATGGCGATGCCAAAACAGAGAACTTCTCCACGAACTTTCTGTACTAGCCTGCCAATCCAAGGAAACTACGAATTTCCTTGACGTTCTTTGGCCTCTCCCATTCAGTAATGGCTTCTATCTTCTTGTTATCAACAGCAATTCCCGATCCTGAAACCACGTGCCCAAGGAAGCCAATCTCCTTTAGCCAAAATTCACATTTAGAAAATTTGGCATAGAGTTGCTTCTCCCGTAGTGTCTCAAGAACAAGTATCAAGTGCTCTTCGTGCTCTTCTTCACTCTTTGAGTAAATCAAGATGTCATCAATGAACACAATCACGAATCGATCCAAGTATTTATGGAATACTCGGTTCATCAAGTCCATGAATGCCGCTGGGGCGTTTGTTAACCCAAACGACATAACAAGGAACTCAAAATGCCCATACCTTGTGCGGAAAGCACTCTTTGGTATGTCGTCTTCCTTAATCTTCAATTGATGGTACCCCGATCTCAAGTCAATCTTCGAAAACACGGTTGCTCCTCGTAGTTGATCAAACAAGTCATCAATCCTAGGCAACGGATACCTATTCTTGATTGTGACCTTGTTCAGTTGACGATAGTCAATGCACATTCGAAGTGTCCCGTCTTTCTTTTTCACAAAAAGAACTGGTGCTCCCCACGGGGAGTGGCTTGGTCTAATGAAACCGTTATCCAAAAGCTCTTGCAATTGGGTTTTCAACTCGTTAAGTTCAGCGGGTGCCATACGGTATGGCGGTATGGAGATTGGTTTGGTACCAGGCTCAACCTCGATCACAAATTCAATCTCCCTATCAGGTGGAAGCCCCGGTAGGTCTTTAGGGAAGACATCCGGATACTTACAAACCACCCTCACATCATCGATGTTCGTTTCTTCCTTGGTCTCGTCAACCACGTATGCTAGATATGCGTGACATCCCTTCTTCATCATATTTCTCGCTCTTACGGCGGATATGATACAACTATTTGATTTGCCTCGGTCCCCCTCGAAGCGTAGGGTGTCCCCATGTTTGCCTTCAAGTTCCAACACCTTTGTGTAGCAATCTACCCTAGCATGATGCTTTTCTAGCCAACCCATCCCTAGGATTGCATCGAACTCCATCATACTCACCGGTACGAAATCACACGTCAAGGTTTGGCCACCGATTTCCACCGTACAAGATGGATAGTAATTGTTTCTTTCAACGTCTCCCCCTAGTGGGGTTGATACCACTAAGGTTTGTGTCATTGGTATTGATTGTATCTCTAAGCTCTCGGCAAACGCCTCACTCACGAATGAACGTTGCGCTCCGGTATCGATAAGGATTCGTGCATCCTTCCCATTAATCTTTAATGTTCCTACATTTATAAGCCATGTAAGACACCATTCCTAACATGTCTAAACTTTATTTAGGGTTAGGGTGCATTTACCGTTCAAACGGGGTGGGCCCCGTTTTGATACGGAAAATTTTCGGACGAAAACAGTTTCGGACCGGCGCCGGTTCGGGCTTGACCGGCGCCGGTTGCCCGGGTTAAACGTCCCAGCTGCACCGGTCATAGTGGGCCGGCTCCACACAGGCTCGCTCCAGGGAAGGTCCGGCGCCGGTTGATGGGTGTCCGGCGCCGGTTGGGTGGTGTCGCAGGCTGTGAGCGCCGGTTATGGGGAGCCGGTCGGACACAGGCTCATCCCAGGGCATGTCCGGCGCCGGTTGGCCAGTGGCCGGCGCCGGTTGGATGGAAATCTGCCCCGGTTATGCGCCGGTTGGAGAGGGCCGGTTCCAAACAGGCCCGCCTCATCGCTCTCTCCGGCGCCGGTTATGCGAAGTCCGGCGCCGGTTGCCCCCCCCTTTTGCACATTTTAATCTCAAACATGCCCATTTTGATCTTAAAGCGTTCGGGGCTTAATCCCAAAGGTGTGTACACATAAGTACGGCTAATTTACCATATTTTGATGAGATAAATACCTGCAACGGAATCCGGGTTCGCTTGGGCATCCGCCTCCGTCATCGCATAGACTCTAGCTTGAGTTCTTCCTTGATTCACGGATGGTGCGTTACTTGTACTTGCCCCCCCGTGTCCCCGGCTTGCTTGAGAAGCCCCGGTTTGATTCTGTGTACCCGTCGGACCGCCACTCGGTCCCGATGTCCTTGCCCCACTCAATTGTGGACAATGTGCCTTCAAATGCCCGGCATCCCCGCATTGAAAACATCTAGGGGGTCGCGACATTTACCGGAGTGGTTCTTCTTGCAATTGTTGCAACGAGCTACCACTGAGGTTTGTGACCTCGCGCCTTGCCCACTCGGGCCTTGGTTCCCCCTATATGGTGGCGGTGGTGCCCGGAAAGATCCTCCTCCGTGGTTCCCCTTTTTGTTGGAACCTTGGGAGCCATGACTCTCCCACTTTCTCTTTTTCGCCTCCTCGGCGTCTCTCTTCTTCCTTTCTTCCCATTACTTCTCTCCTTTCAACCCTTGGTCAACCACTTGGGCAAACGTCATGTTAGGCAATTGTGTTGCCCTGTCACGTATCTCCAAGTCTAGAGCATCCCAGAAGTGGTTCACCATCCGGTTCTCGTCACAAGCATACTCAGGTATGTAATCGGCAAGATCCCTGAACTTGTACTCAAGTTCCCTCACCGTCATGTTACCCCCTTGGGTTAGAAGGGTGTATTCCCTCACTTTCTTGTTCACCTCAAAATCCGAGTAATATTGGGCAAAGAATTCCTGTCGGAAATCCTCCCAAGTGACGGTCTCGCCATATTTGCCTTTGGTCCCATCCCACCACTTGGATGCCATACCTTCAAGCAATCTCACCGCAACCCTTAGTTTATATTCGGGGGTGAGTTGCATGTCCAAGGCTGCCTCATTCAGCCGCTTAATCCATTGTGCCGAAACGGAGATGTCACCCGTCCCATCGAACGGTTTGCACCCCAAGTCTCGTGCCTCTTTGATGTATTTGGAGATCCTTATGATTGGACCTCCATCACCCCGACCCCCATGTGGTTCAATGTGGGCCCTAGAGTCGCCATGGCTTCTCCCTCTTGAAGCCCCGCCCGACGGTTGCCCAGCCCGGCGCCTTCGGCGTTCCCTCCTCTCCTCACGCTCACGGTGGTACTGTTGAAGTAGTGCTTCAATCCGTGCTAAGGAGCCATTTTCCTCCTCATCACTTACATCATCATCATCCCCTTCATAAGGGGTCTCAACCGGTTCAGTTTCCGGTCGATAGGTCGAGTCCTCATAGGACCAGTAGGTTTCACTTTCCGTGTCGACATGACCGTCACTCACGGTCTGTGATCGGCCTCCACGGCCAGCTCCTCTAGATGCCCTAGAGGTCCTTCGACTGCCCTGTCCAGTCTCCACTGGTACACGACCCGTCGGGTTTCTCCTAGTAATCCTGCCACCACGGTCCATTTCTGAAAGAAATTTGGAAGGAGTCGTTAGACTCGTATCAAATGTCAATTGACGGATAGGTACTTAAGACACATTTTGGCTCGAGTCACCGCCATACCAATTGCTAAGGGTACCATCTTAACAATTAGAGACCTTGCAACCCAAGTACCAAAAGCTCTCCAAGTACAAAACTTCTATGCTCATGGTTTTCAAAATCTTTTCAAAAAGAGAATTTTGAGACTTCATTATGAAGTTTATGGACTAAGGCTCTGATACCAACTTAATTGTCACGCCCCGGACCTATCCGGACACGTCAACAACCCGCCGTACAATATGAATAGTCAACCGCAGTCCAACACATTCATATTATACAAGGCGTCTTGAATATCATTCACACATATACATCCATAAACAAACATAATAAGTAATTCATAACGCAGCGGAAACATTGTTTAAAACAAAAGAGCCACACAGGGCTATTCATGAGCACGCAGGCTCTATAGTAAAATATCCATGAGCAAATTTATTAATGTTTCAAATAGAACGGAGGAAGCACGAACCAAGTCTTCTCTCCGAGGGATCACCCGATCAACGAGCACAGGATGCAAGCTCTAGCCTCAACCTGAAATGGTGGTGGGATGCCCCCGAAGGGGTCAGTACTCTATACGGCTATAAAGTACTGGTGTGGCAGGCATCTAATAGATATACAACAAGTATTTCAAACACAAGACCCTCAAATAGGGTGATAGTACATTATGATTGTAACCCTAAGTTACCCCGTTTAAAAATATACTTACTTTATATAAAAGTCAAGTAGCCGGCCCGTGGGCCCATGTTCATTTGGAAATCACCATTCCCAACCCCGTGACTATAAGCCACGACAACTCCTAGAGTCCAACCCTAGTACATGACATTGTATTCTAGAGCTCGGCTCTACCACATCACCATACAATTCATATACCTCGGGTCAATTTCCTTATCTTGCGTTCTAGAGCTCGGCTCTATCACATCACCAAGCAAGTCCTAGAGCTCGGCTCTAGCTATACAACACATAGACTCCAAGTCTACACCTTACATGCATTCTAGAGCTCGGCTCTATCACATCACCATGCATTAAGGTCCAATTCTCAAGCAACCCTATGCCTAGAATTGACATATAAATAAACTACCATGGGTCATCCTTAAAGACTTCCCATAACTTAACCTTAGTTCCTTACTAAGTTATTAGATACACTTGAACTACATTCAAGTATCTTTCATACAATCCAATCCCTAGGATCAATTTAATCAACAAGTTCCAATAATCACTAACTAGTATTTCAATACTATTAAGATTATTGTTATCATACCATTATCCTCATTATTTGTAATTCTCTACATAATTATAATTATGTAGCAGCAACTTAAGTATTCAATCTCAATACACAATTATTCATTTATGTAACCACATAATTCATACATGAGCAAAATGCCTATTTCACAAAAATAGTTCATTTATACTCATTTAATCTCGTAATATTCATACATTCTCAAATCATTTCAAATTTCATTCTTTGGCAACTATATCAATATTTCATCAATATGTAACCATCATAATTCATGAAAAATAATGATTTAAGCATTTAGGTAATCTCATGCTTAACCTACAAGTTGTAAGCAATTAGATGTCAATCCTCACCTCAATTGAGCTTTAAACTTTCCCTTCTTGGTCCAATGGTCAAAGCTTCGGTCAAGGTGGATTTGGAACTGATTCCTTGCTTAAATATGAGTGTTAAACAGCCCCTTCAAGGTGCTAGCTCAACCCCTAAACGTTGGTACGAAAACAGCCCCTAGAATGGGTGTTTTCCGGCTAACTCGTTTCCTAGTTTTCCAAGATTTGTTCTAGGTTAGTATCTAACCTTTACATCAACAAAATAACTTAATAGGGACATATTATACACTTGGAATATTGTATAATAGTTCCACCAATCGTTCATATCATTTGGAAAATGAATGGAAAGGTTTTGGGATTAACAACTCACTTAGAAGAGTAAATCCGTTCCTGCGAGGTCGCGTTCTGCTCGGACGATTTGGAAGCCTTACTCTACTCCGATTGATGCAAACCAGATCTTCACGGATTCCTCGTCTTGAGAGCTTTCTTTTGGTATCTCACACGCCTTAATTGGATTGGTAAAACTCGAGATATCAACCAAACAGTCTCAGCACTCCCACAGCTCGAGTTCACAGACCACTGCTCGTTCCAGATCGATTTTTGGATGATTTCTCTCTCTACTCGAACAAAGGCCACTCAATTATGAAACTACACTTCAAAGGCTATCCAAGGACACCTTATACACCTCATTTGGACGAGTACAACTCTCAAAATGAAGGGAGACAAAACACACCCATGATTTGTGCGGAAATAGACAAGGTGGGTCTCAAGGTTGATTCCAATCAAGTCTTGTGCAGTCCTCCTCCAGCTTGTGCGGCCAAGATAAGTCTCCTCACTTATTTTTCTTGTTTTGCAGGTACTATAATCATGTGGAGTGGTTCCCAATTGATCCCAATTAATTTGGGGTCCAAATTATCTACCAATACTTCCAAAAATGGGGAAAATGGGTCCTATTGTTTTATCTTTGTCAAAAGATGTCCTTTTTTTTGTATTCATCCTAATTTATTTAGGACAAGTCAACTTCCTACATCCCATTATTGATCTACCATATGTGTAGGCTCATCTCGATAATTTACATGATGAAAATTACAAAAGAATACGGGTTTGAACAATACAATATTCAATCATGCACTTCGCAACATATTAATCGTTTTTTCCATTGTTTTGAAATCGGGAATTCAATACATCACTTTTGAATTTTTAAATCGAATTTCCAAGGACGTTCGGGTGCGGTGTCACAAAAAGAGTAAATCGAAACAAGCCGTCTAACCTGCACAAATGAAAGGGAAAAACTATCGCTCTCGTCGAAGCCGACAAGTGGAAAAACAAAACCCTACTGTGACGGTAGACCTCAGACCTCGCCTTTGTCTAAGTTTCCCCATTCTAAAAATTTTAAAATACGATGTATGCAGATTAATTAGCATATTAAAAATCTAATAATGTTAAAATATGACAATAAATTTCCGGATGATTGTAACTCCTATATAGAGAAAACTTAATTTGAAATATTACATTATTTTTATTCGAAATTTCAATGAAATTTTCCGATTTATTTTATGCAAAATGCGATGTTTGTTGGAAATATGATGACATATACTATTTTGAGGGTCTCGATTTTCGGGCCCTAAGACATCAATTGTGTAAAATATGAATGAATTGGAGAAGGCTTAAATACATCAAAGTACAACTTACATATTTGGATATATTTCATTTAATGACTAGAATCCATAGTTGTAAGGTTGTAAAGTAATGTATTGATAAAGTGAATTTTATTGTCCACATTAAATAAATTGTCTCTTTTCTTATTTAAAATGTGTGTATATATATTATGTGATAAGGAACATGAGTGTTTAAGTATTATGAAATATTACTATACACATAATTATATTTCAAACCGAGAGGCATTTATTTTGGGGACAAGAATTCTGTGATTTGTTAAAACTTAATGTCTCATTTTATTATTAGAAATAATAAAATGAAGTTTGTGACAATTTAGCTGATCGGTGCAACTGTCATGTGTTAAAATTTGAAATTTAAACACTAGGAAGAGGCAGTCAAATTGGTGGTTGAGGATCCAAAATATTAGGACCTAACCCAATTTGTAGGATCAGCTAACTTCTCACGTTTGGAGCACTCCACTTCTATTTTATTAAATTGCCTGATTTCCAAGAAGATAATCTGCTGCATGCTTAATTTTCCTCACGTACAATATTGCTCATTTTGCAAATTGAAGCTTTATTCTTTTGCTTCATTTTGCCTGATTTCCACGAACAGAACCTTTAATCATTAAAAGCTCTTTCATTTTCTTTCTATTTGTAAGAGCTTCGTCTTCTCCGAGAGAAAAATACATTCCATAGTTCATACTTCATTTCCTTCTTCTGGCTCATCTCTTTTAATCGGCAATTGGGCAACGGTCGAAGTGTTTCTGTCAAGCAAGCTTAAGGACTGAAACTGAGGTAGGATTATCCTGGGAGCGAGTTGGCCAGTCCCATCCGAGTAGCTATCGGGATACGGGGGCTATCTTTCTTCAAGGCCAGTCCGATCAACGGACGATCTTACACTAAGTCTTTCTGTCTCTACTTTTATTTTAATATTTTATTTCTAATATTGTTATTATTTTATTTGTTCAATTGTTCTTGCATTTGGTGGTTTGTCTGGTGATTTGTGATCAAACTCGGGATTTTATCTGACTAAACTCGCATTAAATAATACTGTTTTTCTAACAATCTTGAAGAAAGATATTATTTCTCGAGTTTTGAAAATCCAATATGACGAACTTGGAAAATGCTGCTACTTCTGAAAACGTTGTTGTTGAGAATAATGTGAATGAAACCTCTGAAAATAATGTTAATTCTGTGTTTGTGACTAATTCTGGAGACACACCTGAATTTGTTGCTACGGGCTCTCACATGGTTGATTTGACCGGAATGCCTGAAAAATTTTCCGCGCATTTTTTCAAGCGTTGGCAACAACGCATGAAAATTTGGTTAATCACCAAGGGATTGCTCTCGGTAAGTATTACGGTGTGTCCCCCGTTGTCGAGTCAGATCCCAAAAGTCTTGAACGCCAAACTTTATGGCGTGAGAGGAATGAAATAGCTAAAGGAATGATATTGTTGGGACTCTCCGACATGTTATTTGATGTGTATTGCACCCTCCACGGCACGGCTAAAGACCTTTGGGATGAGTTGGATAGGACATATAATACTGATGACCAAGGTCTGGAAAAGTATATTCACTATATTGTTTCCAAATTCTTGAGATTCGACATGAAAGAGGGAAAACCTGTTTTAGAACAAACACAAGAATTTGAGCTTATCTTACATTCTCTCCGTGAAGCAGATATGGAATTGCCTGAAAAATTTAAAGTCATGGCTGTAATTGAAAAATTCCCCTAATCGTGGGAAGATTTTGGTATGACTTTAAAACACAAAATGAAAAAGATAACTTGGAAAAGTTTGATGCATTCCATTACTGTTGAGGAAGAACATAAGAAAGCGGGTTTTATTGCGCCTGTTGAATTTCAACCAAAGGCTCATGTTGTAACCGGGGGAAAGCAGTCACAAAAGTCTAAAAATAAACAACCATCATCTTTTAAACCAATAAAGGCCAAATTAAAAATTGCAAAGAAACCAAAGGCAAACCGTCCATGCTGGAACTGTGGATAGATGGGGCATTGGGCCAAATTATGTCCAAATAAAAAGGCTAAGGCTCAATCTGGTGGACCTCAAGTCAACGTGGTGACTGGAGAAACTAGTTTCGATGGGTATGTTTCTATTAATCCTCAAGTTTTCACTATTTATAATTCCAATGAGTGGCTAATAGATATAGGAGCGAATGTGCATGTATGTGCTGATAAATCGCTCTTTGTTTCTTATCAGTCTGCGGTTGGAAGAACAGTGATGATGGGAAACACAAGTGTTGCTAGTGTGCATGGAGTTGGAAAAGTAGAAATAAAATTTCCTTCGGGAAAAATACTTACTTTGCATGGAGTGCATCACGTTCCCGAAATTAGAAGGAACATTGTTAGTGGTTCCATTATAGTTAGGGTCTTAGGGAGGGTTATGAGTTTTTTTTTAAATTTAATAAAGTTGTAGATCGTTGCCATTGTCATTAATGTGTTGCTTTTATTTTTCACCACCACAACTAAGGTTCGAGTTCAAGAACTTTGTTCACTCAGTTCCTGTGGGGGTTAGGGGTAAAAGCTTAGAAGTTGGTTCAAACCGGAAGGTACCATATTCGAAAGCACATTATGTCTTTTAGAGTTGAGCCAACAACTATGGATTTGTGGGGGATTGTTGGAAATATGATGATATATATTATTTTGAGGGTCTCGATTTTCGGGCCCTAAGACATCAATTGTGTAAAATATGAATGAATTGGAGAAGGCTTAAATACATCAAAGTACAACTTACATATTTGGATATATTTCATTTAATGACTAGAATCCATACTTGTAAGGTTGTAAAGTAATGTATTGATAAAGTGAATTTTATTGTCCACATTAAATAAATTGTCTCTTTTCTTATTTAAAATGTGTGTATATATATTATGTGATAAGGAACATGAGTGTTTAAGTATCATGTAAGGTATGAAATATTACTATACACATAATTATATTTCAAACCGAGAGGCATTTATTTTGGGGACAAGAATTCTGTGATTTGTTAAAACTTGATGTCTCATTTTATTATTAGAAATAATAAAATGAAGTTTGTGACAATTTAGCTGATCGGTGCAACTGTCATGTGTTAAAATTTGAAATTTAAACACTAGGAAGAGGCAGTCAAATTGGTGGTTGAGGATCCAAAATATTAGGGCCTAACCCAATTTGTAGGATCAACTAACTTCTCACGCTCAGAGCACTCCACTTCTATTTTATTAAATTGCCTGATTTCCAAGAAGATAATCCGCTGCATGCTTAATTTTCCTCACGTACAATATTGCTCATTTTGCAAATTGAAGCTTTATTCTTTTGCTTCATTTTGCCTGATTTCCATGAAGAGAACCTTTCATCATTGAAAGCTCTTTCATTTTCTTTCTATTTGTAAGAGCTTCGTCTTCTCCGAGAGAAAAATACATTCCATAGTTCATACTTTATTTCCTTCTTCTGGCTCATCTCTTTTAATCGGCAATTGGGCAACGGTCGAAGTGTTTCTGTCAAGCAAGCTTAAGGACTGAAACTGAGGTAGGATTATCCTGGGAGCGAGTTGGCCAGTCCCGTCCGAGTAGCTATCGGGATACGGGGGCTATCTTTCTTCAAGGCCAGTCCGATCAACGGACGATCTTACGCTAAGTCTTTCTTCCTCTACTTTTATTTTAATATTTTTTCTAATATTGTTATTATTTTATTTGTTCTTGCATTTGGTGGTTTGTCTGGTGATTTGTGATCAAACTCGGGATTTTATCTGACTAAACTCGCATTAAATCACTACAAAAAACAACGTTCTAGTCACGGATTTGGTCCGTGACTAGTTTTGTCACGGACTAGTCACAGACTAGTCACGGATGCTCCAAAAAAAATAGTCACGGATCGGACCGTGACTATGACCGTGACTACATTAGTCACGGTCAGATCCGTGACTAAAATGGTCCGATAGCTCCGTTTCCGTTTCCGGCGGGGTTTGTTTTACACCGGCGACTTAGTCACGGACACACCCGTGACTAAATCCGTGTCTACTAAAAAAAAAATTCAGCGCTCATAAATTAATTCGCAACGGTATTCTGTACGGATAAATTAGTCACAGAAATGTCCGTGACTAATTCCGTGACTAAAACGAATAAAATTATTCGCCCACGTAGTTTACACGTCATTTACACGGTTTGGACGCGTAATCTACACGGATTTGCTTAGTGACGGACAAATCCGTGACTGAGTCCGTGACTAATTCTTTTATATATGCAGGAGCAGCTCATTCAACAGAACCACACCAATTCATTCTCAGTATATAATACAATAGCTGTTTGAAAGATCGAAGGATGTAGTCTATCTTATGTCATTTTCCCTGTTTATGCAGACAAGGTATGTTATTTAATTTAAATTATTACTTTTATTTAGAATTAGTTGGTTCAATTTAAATTATTAAAACTATTAAATTAGTGAGGTTGTTAATTAATTAACAACATATTTAACTATAAACGTAGTGATTTCATAAAATTAGTTAAATTTTTAGGTTTATAAAAATAATTTAATTAAAATTAGTTAGCTAAACGTAGTTTTAAACGTAGTGATGTGGTAAGTCAAATTAGTTAGCTAAACGTGACGTAGTTTTAAACGTAGTGATGTGTTAATTAAGTGAAATTAGTTAGCTAAACGTAACGTAGGTTTAAACGTAGTGATGCATTAAATTAAATTAAGTAAAATTAGTTAGCTAAACGTACGTTTTAGCTAATTAAGTTAAATTAGTTAAACTTTTGATAATATTAGTTAAATTTAAATATTAATTAATTCAAATGTGTTTAAAAAGGGTTGTTATTTAATTAACGAAATGAATTAGTTAAATTTAGTTTGGATTAAAACATTACTTATATTTTGTGCATTATTATTGTGAATTGTGTATTATTTATTAATTCAAATGAGTTTATATATATGTTCAAATTATTGGATTTGGTCATATTATTTAATTTAGTGAATTGTTAATTGTGTATTACTAATAAGATTAAATGTCATTAACGTAATAATTTAGTGTATTTAGTGTTGAAACGGATATTATTGGTTATTTGTTAATAATTGAAATGATTAATGACATTATATTAACGTATTGGCTAGTTCTAGTTAATTAATAATATTAATTGAATATTATTGTAATTAATAATATTCAATTGCATTGAACTTTAATTAGTGAAATTGAATATATTAACAATACTCCACATATGTTGGTAAGTAATGTTTATAATTCAGAGTTTTTAATAACCTGTATAATTTTTTTATTATAATATTCAGGCATAATGTATAGACTTAATAGAAGTTGGATGTATGATAAACATGCGATATTGTACGGAATGCAATCAAATTTTCTTGAAGGAGTTGGGGAGTTTATTGCGTTCGCACAAGAACACCCGGCTTATATGAGTGGTGATAAAATCAGATGTCCATGTTCAAAGTTAAAAATCTCAAATTTAAAGACCCAGAAGAAGTTGGGTGGGATTTGTACGCGGAAGGATTCGTTCCCAATTATTATAATTGGATTTCTCATGGCGAACCTTTGGATCCATCTGTTTTACCGCAAATGGTAGGTTCGTCTCGTAACGTCCCTGCAGAGATGAGTGCGTGGGGAGACCCCGCTGAAATGAGATGGGAGCAACGTATGGTATATGATGCATACGGTGCATCGATGTCTCAGTTTAACCCCCCGCAACCATCTGACGATCCTCCTGAAGCCTCGACCTCGTATCAACCAGTCGCGGATGAAAATTCGATATTTTATCAACCTTATGTGGATGAAGGTTTAACTGAGAAATTTCAAGATGTTTTAAAAGCTGTCGATCAACCCCTGTATGCTGATTGTGAGGGATACTCTCAGCCACCGCCGTTACAGAGTTTATGAACATAAAAGCTGAATACAGTCTCCCTGAAACTTGCATGAGTAGAGTCTTGCAGCCAGTAGGAGGGATGCTACCGCGTGATCATAACCTTCCCGATTCATATTACCACATGAAACAATTAATGTCTAAGTTGGGGCTACCTTGTATATAAATTGATGCGTGCCCGGAAAGATGTATGTTGTTCTGGAAGGATGATGAGACACTTGAATTCTGCAATTTCTGTGGTGGAGACAGATACAAACCTGTTCCTCAAAGTAAAAGCAAACCACGAAATAGGTCGGCATTATCTAAACTGTATTACCTCCCAATAGCTCCACGACTTCAAAGGATGTACGCTTCGACTGCTATTGCGAAACACATGACATGGCATGTCGAGCACGAAACCAAAGAGGGTATGATGTCTCACCCTTCGGACTGTGAAGCTTGGAGACACTTTGACCGTTGTCATCCTCAGTTTGCAATGGAGCCACGAAATGTGCCACTGAGATTGTGTTCAGACAGATTTGCTCCATTTGGAAGGTTTGGGAATAACTATTCATGTTGGCCGGTCATGTTAACTCCTTACAATCTCCCTCCCGACATGTGCATGAAGAGTCACTTTATCTTTTTGACTTTGATTTGTCCGGGTCCCAATGATCCAGGAAAAAAGATGGACATTTATCTCCAACCCCTTATCGAGGAGATGAAAGAACTTTGGGCCATTGGAACACCAACTTATGATGTTTCAAGGGATCAAAATTTTATCATGAAAGTTGCCATCATTTGGACCATTAACGACTTCCCTGCCTATGGCATGCTTTCGGGGTGGAGCACACACGGTCTTATGGGATGTCCGATGTGCATGGAGAAATCAGGTGCAAATTGGCTAACTTTTAGAAAAAAATCAAGTTACTTTGATTGTCACCGCAAGTTTCTCCCGGAAAACCACCGATATTGAAAGGATAAAAAATCTTTCATTATAGGTAGGGTGGTACGAGACACCCCACCCCTGAGATTGACCGAGGAAGCAATTTTTAACCGGGTTCGACGTATTCCTACGGCTCTGCAAGAGCCAAATAAGAAGCCATATGGGTTTTGTGATACCCATAAGTGGACAAAGAGGAGTATATTTTGGGAGTTACCATATTGGAAAGACCTTCTCATTCGTCACAATATACATGTCATCCACACTGAGAAGAACGTGTTTGACAATATATTTAACACAGTGATGGATTTCAAAGGCAAAACTAAAGACGGTCTTGCATCTAGAAAAGATATGACTATTTGGTGTGACAGACCCGAACTTTCTGTTGATCTAGAATATACTGGTAATAATATTCCAAAAGCAGTCTACCAAGTCACAGAAGCACAAAAGGAATCAATATTACAGTGGCTTGTGTCTCTGAAGTTTCCAGATGGCTACTGCTCCAACTTGTTCAGATGCGTGGACATGAACAAACTTACAACGATGTCGAGCATGAAAACTCGCGATGCTCATGTAATCATGCAAAGACTTCTCCCAATTGCACTGAAAGAGATGCTTCCTGAACACGTATGGTCCTGCATTACTGAGATCAGTTTGTTGTTTCAGATGATATGTTCCAGCGTTTTGGATGCAGCATCCCTCCGGAGACTAGAAGAGTCTGTTCCTATACTGATGTGTAATTTGGAAAAGATAATGCCTCCATCGTTTTTTGATGGAATGGAACATCTTGTAATACATCTTCCGTATGAGGCTTTGACTGTTGGCCCCGTCTTCTATCGCTGGATGTACAGATTTGAAAGGTCAGTCACAATTTCATTTATCTTTGAATATTTATTTCATAACAACATTAATCTATTTACCACCTTGATTTTACATTGCAGGTTTCTTGGAGAGTTGAAAAAGAAAGTGGCCAACAAGGCACACGTTGAGGCTTCAATTTGTCAAGTGTATCTTCAACAAGAAATCTCCACGTTCTCATCTTTTTATTTTGAGCGTGAAGTCATCACTAGAAGAAAGAGACCTGCCCGGAACGATGACATTGGCGAGGATTTATACGAAAATGTAGTTTCCATTTTCAATTACCCAGGTAGAGGTAAAGGAGCCGCGACACACCGATACGTCGTGGGCGGAGAATTACAAATTGCGCATACTTATATCCTCATGAATTGTCCAGAAATCTTACCGTTTTATCAGTAAGTTAAATTTCTAAATATACTTGTAATATATATACAATTATATCAGGTAGTTGATTTATAATATTTTCATGTTTAACTTCACAGTGAATTTAGAGCGGAGCTCTCAGCATTCCCTGATAATGAAGTTGATGCAATGGTGGACTCTGATTTTGTACCGTGGTTCAAGTATCAGGTATATATACACACATTAATTATATATATTCTTAAGTAATAATTTGTAATAATTACCCAATGTTATCATGTTATATTTTACATATCAATAGCCGTGGGATTGTGGACCCTTTGTTAGTAGCATTATCGTGGGGCCCTGGTGCCTACGCCAAAGTTTGGCGGTCATATGTGATAAACAGTTACAACTACCACACAGTCAATTACGGACAGGGCCGATCAACAGTGAACAACGGGTTATGTGTCCCAACCATCGGTTATGATAACTCGGAATCCAATTTTTTTGGTGTCTTGCATGACATTCTAGAATTTGAAATGCCTTCTGCTGGGAAAAGTTTGACATGCGTTTTTATCAGCTGCAAATGGGTCGATCCAACGCGTGGTGTGAGAAAAACTTCAAAATATAATATGATTGACGTCAACCACTCTCGCGTGTATAGGAAAAATGAGCCTTTTATACTCGCTCAACAAGCAGCCCAGGTTTATTATGCATAATACCCTTCAACCAGGCGGACACAGAATCCTTGGGTGTGTGCATGTACTGTCCGTCCGAGCAAAATTGTATCACAAACTCAACACAAAGACGTTGATTTAGATGCCTTTCAGCAACAATTTTGCCAACCTCCGCCTATTGTTAAGACGGTCAACCATCACATTCAGTTAAGTGATCCAAATGGCGGAAGTGTTGAAGTCATGCCAGAAACGCACCTTCCGGACCTAACACCTCCATCTTAGCGCGAAATTGTTCAAATGCATGAAGAACAACAAAATGCTCAATATCAGGAAGAAGGAGAATGGATAGACGGTTCTGATACAGAAGAAGACGCTGTATAGAAAATAACGATTCTGACAGCGAGTAATTGTATTGTTGTAATTTCAATTTTATTGACTTCGAATATTTGTGCTCTTTTCTTCACCATTATATTACTCCAACAATAATTGATTTTTTTCAACATCATTATTATTTGTGAAATAAAAATTACTCCATATTAATTCAACAACAACAAGTTTTTTATATCCATATTATAAATTCAAAATATAATTTTTAATAATTCGAAGTTTGAAAATTAAAATTTCCATAATACGCAATTTAAAATTACTCCATATTATATCCATGTAAAAAAATTCAAAAATTCAAAAAAAAAAGTAATTTACAATTCAAAAAAATTCGAAAATTACTCCATACTTTGAATAATTCGAAATTTGAAAATTAATTTTAATAATTCTAAATATACAAAATTAACAAAATTCGAAAATTCAAAAAAAAAAATAATTTACTTTTACTAATCTGAATATTATAATAAATTTAGATATTAATAAACAACTAACACAGATTTATTTATCAAATTTAAAAGATAAGTACAAAACACACAATTTATTTATCACATTAACCTAACTAACATTATTCATTCCTCAACCGGAAACTTTCAAGAGGCCTAGCCCACAACTCGTGAATTTTCCTTCGAGCTTCTTCGTTGATCGGGTCCATATACTCCGAACATTCTTGTGCACGTTGAAGCATCCGACACAAGTTTTTTGCTCTTGACTTGCCGAATGAGTCGTATTCCTCATCTTTATAATCGCCAAAACTTTCAAGGGGTCTAGACATCAACTCCTTGATTCTCTCGTATGCTTCAACGGTTTTCGGCTCCATAAGCTGTGTAATTAGCTTAAGTCGTTTCATACTTCTACACATGGAATCCCAGTCAATTGGATCTCTATTAGCCATTTTTTTTCACACCATTCTTTGGCCGGAGAAGGATGATTTATACTAAAAATTTGAAGTTGTCACGGTCTTAGTCACGGCTACATCCGTGACTAAGCCGTCGTTAATGCCGATTTCATGCTGGCGGCAGGCAAGGTGTCAGCGGCCGCCATTGACCGGTTTAGTCACGGTCTAGTCCGTGACTAAGATCGTGACTAATTCAAAATTTGAATTAGTCACGGTCTTAGTCACGGACTAGACCGTGACTAAACCGGTCAATGGCGGCCGCTGACACCTCGCCTTCCGTTATCTGACTTCGGCAATTTCAATGGAATAGTCACTGATTTATCCGTGACTAACTCCGTGACTAAAAAAAAGTAATTTACAATTCAAAAAAATTCGAAAATTACTCCATACTTTGAATAATTCGAAATTTGAAAATTAATTTTAATAATTCTAAATATACAAAATTAACAAAATTCGAAAATTCAAAAAAAAAATAATTTACTTTTACTAATCTGAATATTATAATAAATTTAGATATTAATAAACAACTAACACAAATTTATTTATCAAATTTAAAAGATAAGTACAAAACACACAATTTATTTATCACATTAACCTAACTAACATTATTCATTCCTCAACCGGAAACTTTCAAGAGGCCTAGCCCACAACTCGTGAATTTTCCTTCGAGCTTCTTCGTTGATCGGGTCCATATACTCCGAACATTCTTGTGCACGTTGAAGCATCCGACACAAGTTTTTTGCTCTTGACTTGCCGAATGAGTCGGATTCCTCATCTTTATAATCGCCAAAACTTTCAAGGGGTCTAGACATCAACTCCTTGATTCTCTCGTATGCTTCAACGGTTTTCGGCTCCATAAGCTGTGTAATTAGCTTAAGTCGTTTCATACTTCTACACATGGAATCCCAGTCAATTGGATCTCTATTAGCCATTTTTTTTCACACCATTCTTGGGCCGGAGAAGGATGATTTATACTAAAAATTTGAAGTTGTCACGGTCTTAGTCACGGCTACATCCGTGACTAAGCCGTCGTTAATGCCGATTTCATGCTGGCGGTAGGCGAGGTGTCAGCGGCCGCCATTGACCGGTTTAGTCACGGTCTAGTCCGTGACTAAGACCGTGACTAATTCAAATTTTGAATTAGTCACGGTCTTAGTCACGGACTAGACCGTGACTAAACCGGTCAATGGCGGCCGCTGACACCTCGCCTTCCGTTATCTGACTTCGGCAATTTCAATGGAATAGTCACAGATTTATCCGTGACTAACTCCGTGACTACCATGTGATATATAAAGAACACTTAGCGATTTTTTTTTTATCCCAACCCTAAATCGATTCCTTCTCTCCCTTCTTCCTTCGCTAATCTCTCTTCTCCCTTCTTCCTCTGTCGTCCGCCGTCGACGTAGCAGTTCCGCTAGCAGCGCCGCCGTCAACGTAGCAACCGTCGCCGGTCTCTGTCATCCACCGTCCTTCTCAATCACCCGTCCGCCGTCTGCCGCCTTCCACCGCCATCGAGGTTATGTTTTCAAATCTCAACTTCTATTTTTTTTCGTATTTTAATACGGAGTAATTAATTATAAATTTTTTAATTTTTAAAAAATGCATGTTTTGTTGTTATTGTAATTTATATGCATGCTCTGTTTATATTAATATATCCGAATGCATGATGTATATACTTAAATGCATACTTTAGTTTTCAACATTCATGTTCTATTTTGTATATCCATGCTACTTTAATTTTCAATTCTTGAATTTCCGAAATGCATATCCGAATATGCTAATTTTAATATATCCGAATAAAATGCATGCATACTTTGATAAAATTTATGTTTTTGTTTTTAGTTTGATGTGTAAACTATAATATGCATACTTATATTATAGTTTGGTACCTTCTTTTTTTGTTTGTATGTCTAATATCCATGCTTAAACATGAATTATTTTTTGTTTAAACCGTATGCATGATTATTCGAATGTTCTTATGCTATTTTTGGAATTTTTTTTGGACATTTATTAGATATTCCCGAATTATTTAAAAAAAATTGCCCCCTTCATGTTAAACTTGCAAAAAGTTTAACATGTTTAAAATAATGAACAAATTATTTTCGAATAATAAAAAAAATGTTATCGAAATTAACAGTTAAATATTAAACTGTTTTTCGAAATATTAAACTTTTTTACGAATTAACAAATAAATATTAAACTGCTTTTCCACATTATTTTTGAAAATAATACTCACTAGAATTCTTTGGACATTATTATGATTTTTTTTCATCTATCAATTTTATTATTTCCCGAATGATTTAACAAAATAGCCCCTCAAGTTAAATTTCCAAAAAAGTTTAACATGTTAATTATAATTTTACAAAAAAGTTTAACATGTTGATTATAGTATAAAAAATAAAACTGTTTTCCGAAATTAATTTAGAATTAAATATAAAAACTGTTTAATAAACTATATATTGGGTTAAATAGGTAAATTAAAAAATGTTTTAAACTATATATACAAAATTATGTAAACTATATATTTCTGAAAATGTTTTTCTGAAAATAGAGTTTAAAACTACAAAAACAGTTTTTTTGTAAAAACAGTTATTTTGTAAAAACAGTTTTTTTGTAAAAACGTTTTTTTTTTTTTTTTTGTGAAAACTGATTTTTATCAGTTTTTTTGTAAAAACTGATTTTATTGTTAAACTGTTTTTTTTATAAAATTTATTTTTATTTGTTAAAAACAGAATTTTGTAAAAACTGTTTTTGGAAAATCTTAATTCAAAAACTAATAAAAAACAGTTTCCATATTAGCTTTATAAGAAAATATTGAAAAATAGTTTGACTAATAAACTGTTTTTTATTAGTTGTAAAAGTAAACTATTTAATAACTATTAATCACAAACTGTTTCAAAACAGATTTTTTATTAGTTGTAAAAACTGTTTTTGGAAAATCTTAATTCAAAAACTAATAAAAAACAGTTTCCTTATTAGTTTTATAAGGAAATATTGAAAAACAGTTTGACTAATAAACTGTTTTTTATTAGTTGTAAAAGTAAACTATTTAATAACTATTAATCACAAACTGTTTCAAAACAGAATTTTTATTAGTTGTAAAAACTGTTTTTCTAAATCTAGTTATTTATTATTTCCTTATAAAAATTGTTTTTTATAAAACTTCAAAACAAATAATGCCCCTCATGTAAACTTGCCAAAAAGTTTAACATGTTACCTTCAAGTGCAATCAATACAAAAATGTATTGTTTCAAAGTTAAAAATAATTAATTGAAAAAAATATCATCCCCTCATATTAAACTTAAACATAGTTTAATATGTTATACACATTTTCAATAAAATTTTGATCTTCTATTATATTCCCACTAACATTTTAAATATACAAATTAATATAATTTTAGATGAGCAATGAACAATCAACCTCGCGTACCCACCCGAACTATGCGCCCTTAACCGAAGCAGAGCGCAACAATGAAAATGCGGTTTGGGTGACACCTCACATGGTTGCTAAATAAGTAACTATGAACTTTACCTACTGTCAAATAATTTTATCTAATGTGAAATAATCTAACCAAAACGGATATAAAAAAATATCATTAATTTTTTGAAGCGATCAAGATGTGCTGGACCAAATAAAACTCATAATTGGTGGACACTTTCTTAGGAACTGGGCAACCTACACGGATGTTGACCCCAAGGTCCGTGAACTATGGTGGAACCTTGTTCAAGGTAAAAATAAATGAATGTTCCCCGAGTAATTGTAGTACCCTAATATATACCCAAATATTAATTCATCCATTTTTTAAATAAAGGGCCGGTTTCGATGGACTGAAGCACAAGGCCCCGCTATTCTTAGAGCCTATAATGCCAGGATTTCGAACTGGCTTCGGCCCACTTTTAGGTGTGCCCGAGTGCAAGGGCGGCAGCCTAGATGGTGTTCGGATAAGGTGTGGGCCAACCTCGTCCGCCACTGGTCTTCTGATCCAAACTTCTTGGCAAGGAGCGAATCCGGTAAGAAAAACCAGATGTCCGAGAAGGCCTTGGAGACCCAATGGCACGGGGGTCGCAAACCTCAGAGTAAACATAGAGAAGCTCTTGTAAGTCCTGTTCAAAAAAACCTTACGTCATTACAACCCTTCATTTTCTACATTTATTTATGAATTTTAAGTTTTTTTTTCGAACCATGTAGGCGAGGCCTGAGAAGAAGAAGGTCTCGATCCTCAAGGTCATCAAACATTGTTGGACAAAGCACGACGATGAGTCGGAAGCCGATCTGCCACCCCGCCTCGCCGAAATCGAAGTAAGTAACATCAATTTCCTTATTTAGTAACATTACAAAGCGAAGTAAATAGCCTTTCAATAATTTTTGTACATGTAGACGAAGTACAACACAAATGTTGAGAAGACGCGGGCGGAATTGGGCTTGACCCAGGAGGATGAGATCGATTCTGATGTGGAAGATGATGCGATCCTTGAGACAGCTGGAGTGTACAAGGGTCGGGTTCCGTGCATGGGGGCTGAGGGGCAACGGATTTTGTATGACCGCACCACCGGAGCTTCATCTTCTTGATCAGGGCGGGGAGAGGATCCACGCATTGCCCAAATGTAGCGAGAATTGGAGGAGCAGCAGCGGGCATTAGAGCAGCAACGGAAGAAGGATGAAGAAACAAGAGCCCGACTGGAAGCGATGGAGCGGATCTTAAACGCCGGATATCAGCCTCATCCTCGGCCGTCCATATTGCACCCCGAGCAGACTCCTCAAGTTCCGCACATGGGCAACATGGGTTATTATTCTAACTCCGGATATAGTAGCATGCCTATGATGGATCCGACATTCGGATCTCTATCGCATGGTTTCTTGAATCAACTTCAGTCATCCGGAGGATCCAGCCGTAGAGCGAACCGAGGAGGTAGCCGAGGAGGCAACCGAGGAGGCAGCCGAGGAGGAACCCGACCCGAAGACACCGTGGAGCCCGAAGGTGATGATGATGATGATAATGATGAATTTGATAATGATAATCCTAATTTTTATCATAATGGAGTCCGAAGACCGGGCATGTAATAATACAGTTTTATCATTAACATTTAACATTATTTTTATAATTTCAGTTTGCAATGCACTTTTATTGTGTATGAGTGTATGAATTTTGTTTTTTTATTTAATGGTATAATTGCTATACTTTGTAAAATATAATAATTTTCCTGATAAATTTTTTATTTTAATTTTAAGAAAAATTAAAATAAGTTTTAATTTTGTTATTTTGAAAATGGAAATTTAAAAAAAAAACAAAAAATGTAGTCACCGATTTGAGCAGTGACTAATTTTTTAGTCCAGATTTCTTTTTATTAATTTAAAATTTATTTTAAAAAAAAATTAGTCACGGATTCATGACCGTGACTAATATGAAATTTGAAAATTTTGAAAATGCGAACCGCGGGTTTATGAAATTTCAAAATTTAAAAACGTAGTCACAGAAATTGCCGTGACTAAAATGGCCGATTTTTTTTAAAAAAAAATCGTAGTCACGGACATCCGTGACTAATAAAAAAAAGTAATCACGGATCGTAGCCGTGACTAAAGTGCCGGAGCAGCTATTCCGGTGACGTTTTAGTCACGGACCTGGTCCGTGACTAATCCGTGACTACATTTAGTCACGGACAATTTGGCGTGACTAAATTTAGTCACGCCCAAACAGTCACGGATTTAGTCACAGACAAAATCCGTGACTAAAAGAGTTAGTCACGGATTTTTTATACTACGGTCCGTGACTAAATCCGTGACTGCAGCGTTTTTTTTGTAGTGAATAATACTGTTTTTCTAACAATGTTTACTCATCAAGCCATGTTCTAGTCATTATGAAGTGTATGTTAGCTTTCCTAGTGTACCAAAAAAGTATGATAACTACATAGGTGATCGGCTTAAACTTGCAAGTCTACAAGTGCCGATGTAGTAATAAAATCCGGTAAAAATACCGAGTCGAACACGAGGAAACGTTGTTTATATGGTTCAACAGTTGAGAAAATAATTTGTAAAAGACTTGGTAAAAGAGTAAAGATTTTTGGTTTTTTTTTTCAAGTGATAATAAAAGCAACCAAGGGTTCGGGATTACTCCTAAACGACTCCTAGCGATTAATGTATATTCTTTCACCAATTCTTATGAGTGGAATGTCGCTAAAGTATTCTAACTCCTGTTACGGCAGCGAGATTGTGATTAATTCTACGTGTGAATCCCGTCACGGTTCACATTCATCTAAAATTAACCCCATTGAAGATTAGGACATTATTACAACCACCATATTCAATTGAGGTATATTTCTATCCACAATTAGAATATGTCTAGCCTTTAAGTGCACGGTTTATAACTCAACGTTAATTGCTCAAATTAACCCAACGATATAATCATACGTTGTACACCGTAGTCATACACATTAAAATATAAAGGAAAGATCATAATAATTTGGTTGAGAACATACATCAAACACCTAGAGTGCGTAAAGTTTCATCCCTAACCTTGGCTATGGAAAATTAGCTAGAGCAACTCATAATGAAATTACAAGTATTGAATTGATGAAATACAATGAAATACATAAGAAGATAATACCACAACTCCAAAGCTATGGTGGATAGTGGGATCCCCAAGTGTAGAACTTCTCCCAAGACCAAGGGGTTGATCTTGGAGTGCTAAAATGGAAGTAAAGTGTATGGAATATGGAATAATCACTTGAGAGGGCTTCCATATGCTTAAATATTGGGTCTTCAACGACCATTTTTAGACAAGGAAGCAAGCTCCTTAATTGGATTTGGAGCTTCTCTCGAATGATTGTGATGACCGTTGCTTGTTTTAATCAATTCCAGACGAAAGGCGGGCGACTTTCGCAAAAGCCGGGCGGCTTTTGCGCGTTTAAAATGCTGCTCCTCCGCTCCAGGGGTCGAAAACCGGCCGCCATTTACAAAAGCCGGGCGGCTTTTGTAATTAAATTCTGAACAATTCCTTCGGCGACCAAAAGTCGGCCGGTGTTCACGAAAGCCGGGCGGCTTTCGTCCTTTCTTGCTCCGGATCATATTTTTTCAGCTTTGGATGCGAAAATAAGCTTGGGGACCAAAGGCCGGCCGCCTTTGGCATAAACCGGGCGGCTTTCGTCTGTCTTGGGCCTTTTTGTGGTCTTTATTTGTTCCTCGGGATGCGTTTGGTTGACCTTTTTCCGTCGGTTTCTTCGTGTGTATTCTACCATCCTTGCATTTGATCCATTTGTTGATTTAAAGAACTTCTAGCAAAACGAGGCATATGTGTGAAGATTTTATTCTTTTTAAACATAAAAGCGTTTTAAGATGAATATATAAAATACGTTAATAAAACGCTTATCAAATACCCCCACACTTGAGCTTTGCTTGTCCTCAAGCAAATTTCAAAACTTTCTATGAAAATATTAAGAAAAGTTTCTTTTGAAAAAGGGTTTGAAGGACAAGGGTTTTGCTAAAATATTTTTCAAAAAATATGGACCAAAAATGAACAATTTTTTCCAAATAAAAACCTTGCACATTTTTTTAAGTATAAAGTCACCCCCCCACACTTATTCCACATTGTCCCAATGTGAAGCACAAGAGTAATTAAATGCAAAGCAAGAAAATAAGCAATCAAACAACACATAATAGGCACAGAAGTAGCACAAAGAAAAGGTGGTTCAAGTTTAGTATTTTTAGTACACTTCCCTTTTCATAACCTACTCATCTCCTTCATTTCCATCTCCTTGGGGAGGGAAATAAAAGTGCGGGTCATAAGGTGGCGGTGGCGGAATGCTGAAGTGCCGCCCTAACTCTTGGCAATAGTAGTTCATGTTCCAAAGATGACTCCCCATGCCTTCAATAGCCCGCCTTTGGTCCCGCAAATCCCGTCGATGAACCGCAAGCTCCGTATTAATTTGACCGAATTGTTCGGTCAAATAGTCCATGTCGTAATGAGTTCCGGCTTGAGGTACGTGAGCCGCCTCCTCATGGTGCTCCTCATGGCCTCCCTCGGGCTCTCCACCTTGGGCTTCTCCTCCTTCCATCATCTCTTCTTCATTTTCTTCGGGCACGACTCTATGGAATCTCTCCACGCACCTTCATGGTCCTCCGTGCGGCGGTTGGAAATAGCGAAGGTGTATCATGACACCATCATCAAGCACGGCGTGTGTCTCCCGTTCTTCTTCCCCTCTAAAGCTAACACCAAAATGCTCAAAAATGTTAGATAGTAAAATAGGGAAAATGAAGGCCTTATCTTGGTTGTTGCTCAAAGCCGCGCTCCACAATTGTTTGATGATGATGCTTGATAGAGGAATCCCCTCACAACGTCCAAGCCCGGCAAGCATCCTATACGCGAAGTAGAGGTCGGCGCTTCGAATTTTGTTGTAGCCACTTGCTCTCGGCATGACGTTGAATGAGTAGAGGTACATCAAAAGCCGGGCCCGGATGTGTGGTTGACCAAGGTTTTTGGTCATAAGCTCGTGTCCTTGCAAGCCGAAATATTGCATCGCATCCAAGGGGTTGTAGCTAACGTCGCTATTCATTGCTCCGGCTTGGGAAGGGGCGAAAGGAATGCCGTGGTTGGTGATGTGAAACTGAGATCTCAATAGGTCATTTGTGATAGTGAGTTTTACCCCTTTGACCCGGCTCTCAATCATCTTTTGGGGGTTATTTCCCTCAATATTTGCGAAAAATTCCTTGACGAGCTCCGGGTAGAAGGTGCCTTCAAGATGTAGCACCGGCTCCCAATCGATATTAGCGAAGGCCTCGGTGAGCCGGTACTCGTGGTCAATAGGTTGTGACACCGTCTTCTCAACAACGAAATCGTTGTCCCTAGATTCCAAGTACCGTTCGTAGCACTTGGTGTTGACAAACCGGCTAGAAGGTAAGATGGTGGAGGAAGCCGCGGGTGCCTTGTTGTTCCTTGCCCGCTTGGGATTGCTTGGGCCAGCCTCGGTGCTAACGGACTTCCCCTTTGGAGCCATTTGAACCTACAAACTCAACCAATTCTAGTCAATTTTCTTAAAAATTTGACAAAATTTCCCCTAAAAATTGACTTTAATCATAATTCATCATGACAAAGGACAATATAATCACAACTTTACTCAACAACAACTAATCACAAGAATTCAATTGAAAATCCCCAAATTTGAACAAGAATTTCGAACCCTAAACCCCCAATTTTGACCAAATAGCAAAAATTTCAAAAATTGTTGGAAATAACTACTTGAAAAGAGGTTGAAATGGTTCATACAAGCAATATAGGCAACAAGAACAAGATATCATGCAATGAATTAGGCCTAAAAGCTATCAATTTGCATAAACCCTAAAATTCGAAATTTGGGAAGAACAACCAATTCTATCGATTAAATGAAGAAAAAGCTATGAAATTGAGTTTAAGAAGTGAAGGAGATGGAGAAATACCTGTTTTGAGCTTGAAAGAGGAGAAGAAACGTGAAGAATGGGGGTTGTCGTTCGAGCTCTCTCGTTCGCCGGGCGTCTTTTGGGAGTTGTGTGCGTGTGTTTGTGTTTAAACAGAACAGGTAATAAAACATTCGTCCCCGAAAGCCGGGCGACATATGAGAAAGACGGGCGGCTTTCGGTTAAACAGATTGTTCCCAGACCCCGTAAGCCGGGCGGCTTACGCGAACGTCGGGCGACTTTCGATTTAAAAAAAATCTGGAATTACCTTCGGCGCCCAAAAGCCGGGCGACAATCCCGAAAACCGGGCGGGTTTCGTGTGCGAGAAAAATACCTGGGAAGCAGACCTGAAAGTCGGGCGGGTTTCGGGAAAACCGGGCGGTTTTCGATCTGAATAAATGGAATTAACCTACGGCGACCAAATGCCGGGTGGCTTTCGCGAAAGCCGGGCGGGTTTCGATGCCTTTGCTAATTCCGCCCACTTTGTTCAAAATTAGCCTTGAAACTTCACATTTCTTTGCTTTGCTTTCCCCCTACACTTGAATTGCATCGTCCACAAGCAATAAGAGTATAAAAGCATAATGAAAG